CTTGGTGGATTCTTCCTTCGGTGAGTATGTAGTATCTTTCCTTCCCTATCCTTTTGGTTAGTTTTGGTCTGAAGTCTTTTTTTTTTTTTTTTTTTTGGTCAGATGTTAAGATAGCTATACCTGCTTGCTTCTTGGGTCTATTTGCTTGGAATATCTTTTTCCATTCGTTTATACTGAGGTAATGGCTAGGGTGTGTTTCTTGGATGGGACAGAAAAATGAATACTGTTCTGTTTTCTAATACAATTGGTTAGTCTGTGTCTTTTTACTGGGGAATTGAGACCCTCATATTGAGAGTTAACAATGAGAAGTGTTTATTGAGTCTTGTTATTTTTGTTGTTGTTATGGTTAGGCTTCCTCCCCACTTTGGACTCAAATATTTAGGATCTGGACAGCAAAATGTTAGTCCTATATTCTTTAAACCTTTCACTGGTGATCTGTCAGTTCCTGTACAAACAACAACAACAACAACAACAACAACAAAAATAACTGGATGATCTATTCCCATGAACACTAGTATTTCCTTTTCTTTTTTGGTTTTTCGAGACAGGGTTTCTCTGTGTAGCTTTGTGCCTTTCCTGGATCTCGCTCTGTAGACCAGGCTGGCCTCAAACTTGCAGAGATCTGCCTGCCTCTGCCTCCTGAGTGCTGGGATTAAAGGCATGTGCCACCACTGACTGGCTTAGTATTTCCTTTTAAAAAGTGAACATCTATTCACAAAAATACTTTCTTGAGGGCCCATATGCAGAATCTACAATAAACATTACAATGGGACGGTATTAAAATAAAAATCTGACACTGCCATGGCCTCCATGCCTTCAAGCATCTTGAAGCCTGGTTCAGGATATTGTAGCACCCTTCATCTATAGGTTATTGTGTTCAAAGGCATCCATAGAGGCCTCAGAATGTCAATAGTCTGAAACTGTATATAGGTTGTATTTTCCTATGCATGCACACTTTTTATAAACATTTAAATTTTACTTCAAGGAAGTGCTTTATGACTTAAATATATTAAAATTGCCCATACCACTACTCATATTGTTATTTGAACACAAGCACTGTGATACCTCCCTGTCAATGTGGAAAACTAGAAGATAGCTTATATTCGGATGAAACAGATTAAGATGGCACTTGATTACACCGTACTACTTAGGATGTTAAATTGTATAAGATGTTTATTTTTGTTTACTATTTTTGGATTGTGGGTAGGCTACACATCAAATGAAACTATGGGAAGTATAACCACACTACTGTGCTTAATTCTTCTGAAGAAAAGACAAACAGAAAGAAAAAGTATGTAAGGTGTAAGACAGACATGGAAGAAATAAATTCCTTGGAGTATAAATCTGCTACCGAACAGAGAGAATACAACACTCCAAGAAGACTGACCAGGTGTCTAAGAGTTCAGAACTAGACTCCGTACAAGTCTGAGTGTCTTCCAACATACATGTGATTCATAAAAATAATAAGAAGAAGATAACTGCTTCTCAAAGGTAAGGACTCAGAGTAAGAGGCTGACAAAGTCACTGAGTCAATCCCAGGAAAGCCACAGGTGAGGTGTGGAGGCACACTGGGAAGAACTGAGCCTTAAAGCTGCAACTCTCCTCAGTAGGTGTAGATTTGCATTGATGACTCAGTATACCATGAAAAGGGACACAGAAAACAACAAAGACATGTCAAATGATGACCACATCATGTGATGATGCCAAGTGAAATGAGCCAGCCTCACAGAGGCAAGTGACATGTTCCTTCTAATATATGGGATTTAGGGAGTGAAAAGAAGAACGTGGAAGTAAAATAGGCAACAAAGGATAAAGAGGGGGAAGTAAGAAGGAAATTTAATTTTTTAAAGATTTATTATTTTATGTATATGAGTGTCTTGTTTGCATGTATGCATGTGCACCATGTGCATGGTTGGTGCACAGAGACATTAGAAAAGTGCACCAGGTTCCCTGGGACTTGAGTTACAAGGGGTTGTCAGCTGCCATGTGGGTACAGGGCATCAAACCTAGGTCCTCTGAAAGATTAATAAGTACTCTTAACTGCCCAGCCAACTCTCAAGCCAATAAAATAAAAGATAATAGAGGGACTGGATATGATCAAAATCTATTTTCTATTTATGAAAGTGTCATCATGAAATCCATTACTTTATACAAGTAACATATGCCAATTAAAAAATAAAAAAAAATTAGGTAAGTGTGATCAATAGTTCAGACAAAATGACAATATGGAAAATCTCATGAGGAAATTAAAAACTTACACCTTAAAAAATGTAACAACCAAAGTTAAAAATGCAGAGAACCTCATGTATTGAAGAGGTTAGAGGACCGGAAGGTGTCAGAAAACTCCATGAAGCAAAGATGGAACACGAGAAGAGCACACACAACTCCAGGCTGGAGAGGGCACATGTAATTAGAGTCCCAGAGGGTAGACCCAGAGCCTGCTGGAAAACAGCACTCACCTAGATGTGAAAACTAGAAAAAGCCAATGTTCCTCAAAACTGAACATATCAAGCAAGAATTAAATAGAAATAAAACCAAAGAACATTATAGTAAAACTACCAGAAGATCAAAAACTAAGGGAAAGTCTTCTAAAGTTTCCCAGAATAAAGACTTGTTGTTTCAAAGAAGCCAGCTGTGGTGGCACACACTTGTAGGAGCAGCTACGCAGACACTGAGGCAAGAGGGTCTCTTGAGCCCAGAAGTCCAGGGCCAGTCTGCACAAAAATAGGAGACTCTTTCTCAAAGAAAAAAACAACAGATACACAAAGTTTGTTATAATCTAAAACAAAACCAATTACCCTTCTACTATATGCCGTTTATGATAAATAGACCTTATTGTAAATATACAGAAATGCTAAAATTCAGAGTTGGGGAGATGGATTCATAGGCAAAAATGTTTGCTATCTAAGTATGAGGAGTTGTGTTTGGATCCCCAACACGCACAGAAAAGCCAGGTGCAGTGGTGTGTGTTTGTAAGCCTGCTGGGGGAGCAGAGAGATTCTGGGACCTCACTGGCCAGCCAGACTAGATGAAACTTCTAGAGAAGTCCAGGTTCAATAAAGACCCTGTCTCAAAAAGTTAGTAGAGAATGGTAGAGGAAGACACTAAAATTCAACCTCTGGCCTATACAGACATGCACATCCAAATACACTCACATACCTACATAGATACATGCATATCTACAGAGAGAGAGAGAGAGAGAGAGAGAGAGAGAGAGAGAGAGAGAGAGAGAGAGAGAGAGAGAGAGAGAGAGAATAAGAAATAGTTAAAGTCAGAAGATGAGAAAACCTGGAGAGGAACTTCATTAACAAAATAGGTAGAAGTAGGGAGCATGAAAAGAATAATGGCAGAGGCCAAAAGAACCTCTTCAGGGAGCATCTTTCGGGGAACCTTTCCCAGAGAATCTTCCTTAAGCATATCAGCTCAATCCCCAGAAAATAGGAAACATCTGACTTTTTATAACTGTTTAGGGGTAGAAGTTTTACACCCTGGGGTTTAGTTTAGCATAGTGTATGTGATATAAAAAAAAAAAAAGCATGGAGAAGCCAGGTACTGACTGGTGGGGACCATAAATCAGGAGTTGCTGTTAGGCCACAGCACAGACTACATGCTCACTCTGTGGCCCAGAGAGAGCTTCAGGGAGGTGTGGTCTGATTCAGGTTGTAGGATCTGGCTGAAAGATACAGGCCTGTGCTCTTACCAAGGGTAAGGCCATATAATTCAGTGGCAGACTACTTGCCTACCATGTACAGAGTTCTAGGTTTTACTCATTGGTGGAAGGAAAGGAGGTCTTGGTTGTCCATGTGTGGTTGGACTTATTTCTGACTTTCCAGTTCTGTTCTATGTGACCTACTGACCTGTACATTTTTTTTTTTACTTTACACTGTCTCTTTCACTCTATATTCAAAGTGAGTCACATAATCAGTGCATATAAGCCCCCTGTATTAGTACTTTTCTATTGCTATGATAAAACATCACAAACAAGGCAGCTTATAGAAGGAAGGGTTTATTTGGAGCTATAGTCCCAGAGGGATAAGAGAGTCCATCACAGTCACAGTGGGAAGGATTGGCAGCAGACGGGCAGACAAGCACGGTGGCTGAAGCTGGAAGCTTACATCTTGATCTAGGATGTTTGAAGATGTGATCTTCTTCTATTTGAAGCCCACCATGCAAACTGGGAATGGTATGTGCCTTTTGAAACTTCAAAGTCCACCCCCCAATGCCATACTTCCTCCAGCAAGGCCACACCTTCTAATCCTACCCAAACAGGGCCACTAACTGTGAAGCAAGTATTCAAATATCTTAGCATATTGGGTCATTCTCATTCAAACCACCATACCCTTCAACATTGCTCTTTTTCAGTTATGTCGTGGCTATTCTGAGCCCTTTGCATAATGTATTTTAGGATCAGTTTATCCATTTCTTTACAGAGCAAATTGCTGGGTTAAATTAAATGATCATTTGACCACATGTGCCAGTCAGTAGTCCCAGTTTTCTAGGTCTGAGACCAAACAATCTCTCAAAACAGTAAGCAACATAGCAAGTCTCCCACACAGACACACAGATACACATACAGACACACAGACACAGACAAACACACATACCATATGCACAGACACAGACAGACAGATAGACACAGAGGCACCATACATACATATGCATACACACACACACACACACACACACACACAAAGATACACAGACACACATACACAAACATACACACAAAAATTGGAAAAATGGCATGTTTCTATCAATAAATATGATATCTCTATGCATATCAAGACTTCCTTAGTTCTTTCAACAATATAGTTATCATTGTAAAATATTAAAAAGTATTAAAATTGTTCTCTGGTATTTTTTTATATTGTAAATGATGTTTTTTTTCAATCGAATGTATGATTGTGATCATGAGTCCTGAGCTCTTTCTATACTAATCTGCTTTTTCATAGACTCTTCTCCATAGTTAATACAATCTTAAAATAAGGCAGTTTTGTTCATTGTTTTTGAATTAATGTCTTTTATTTTCTTCACATTATAATATGGATTCATACCCTGAATATAGTGTTACATGAATATGATAAGCCTTTTCATTTCCTTGGCACTGGGAAGCATTCAGTCTTTTGCCACTGAGAAGTCAACTGTGTTTAGGTTTTATCGAGTTGGCAGTCTCCTTTAGGCCTTGTTTGCATTCTCATACATGACTAGCTGTTAAATTTGACCCAGGTTCTTTTCTGACAATTCTGAGGTATTACACACGCATTCTTTCCTATTAATGTGGTGAGATAGAGTTGATTCTTAAATGCATTTCTGGGTTAATTCCTACTTGGTTGCGAGGCATTATCCCTTCTACTTTTTATTGGATGTGCTGCGTACATTAAAATGTAGCAAAGAATTCTGGTGTCAGTCTACATAAGATTTCTATGGTTCTCTTTCTCCGTAACATCTTTGTCTGGTACTGGAACAATGCTGCAGTCAGGGAATTAACTGAAGATGGTTCCCTCTTCCAGTGAAATATTTGTTTTTGTTGTTGCTGTTGATGACAATCATCTTATAATCTTCTACATTTATTATTTTGTTTGGTTCCTTTGGAGACAGTGAACAACTTGCATGTGAAGTCTGATAAAGTGCTATACAATATCCTTACAGGAAAGGAACTTTTACGATGAGGGCCTGTCACAACAGCCTATATGCCACTCTTATGACAAACCATATAAGTTTATAAAATCATCTCAAAGCTGTATAATGTAGTTTACATTTTAACATTAAGTAAAACCACTATATAAGACATATTGGTCATTTCCCATAGTAGTTAGATTGCTTCATTAATTTGCTCTATAACATCATAATAAGACATATCTCAACTTCTTCACATTTTCTGATGAGTTCCTGATTGGGCTCAGTATTTTACCAAAATAACATTATCTACATTTAAAATGACTTCAGAAACACTGTACTAAGTATATGTATAAATATGTTCAAAGAATCATAAACTTCAACACTTAGATTTTGAAAATAAATTATTTAGCATTTATTAAGATCAAAAACTCTAAATAGCCGGGCGGTGGTGGCGCACGCCTTTAATCCCAGCACTTGGGAGGCAGAGCCAGGCGGATCTCTGTGAGTTCGAGGCCAGCCTGGGCTACCAAGTGAGTCCCAGGAAAGGCGCAAAGCTACACAGAGAAACCCTGTCTCGAAAAACAAAACAAAACAAAACAAAACAAAAAAAAAAAAAACCTCTAAATATATTTCTTAATACAAAATATACATTTATGTCCCTCAAAAACATATTGAAAGCAGTGCATATTTTTGCTAACTTTTTCAGAGTTGTACATTCTTTCAAATCAATAGTTTATTATTAGTACAATAACATTTTAAGTAAATACTATTTTATTTATTTATTTATCTATTTATTTATTGTTAATTTACATCTATGAGTGTTTTGTCTGTGTGTATGTCTGTGTACCATATCCATGCAGTGTCTTGGAGGCCAGAAGAGGGTGTTAGATCTACTAGGATTGAAGTTACAGGTGGGATGTGAGCAGCCATGTGGGTGCTGGAAATTAAACCTCTGAAAGAGCAGCCAGTGCTCTTTACCACTGAGTTCTCTCTCTAGCACCAATACTGAATATCTAAAATATTTAGTACATTATTCAATGATAATTGTTGTTCAGAAAAATATTTCAACCCAAACAAACATTCTAATAGCAAGTTTAGGAATATAGCAAATGTTTTACAGAATTTTGTTCCACTAAAACATTAATTTATAACTTCTCTATCTCAAAAACTGTCTGACTAATTCTAAGTAAAATCCTTTAACCTTTTGTATGAATTAGATTAAGGAAAAACTGAAGAACCCAAAAGTCAAAGACATAATTCCTGACGCCGGTGGTTATAATGGTGGGAGGTGATTATTTCAGCATCATCCCCATGAGACAAACCCCTTGTTATTATTGATTGCCACCTGAAGTGCTTCCTTCATCCTTTTCATGGTAGAATATTTAGGCAGGTCTAGAATACTGTGACACGTCAATGATCTTGGGTTATCCTTTTCACTGAGAGTTTGAGGACAACGAAATTTTATTCCGTCATACTGTAGGCCTTTTACATGAAGTCTATCACGTCCTGTAAGAAACACTAGAAAGGAATACAATTTTGTTAAGGTATTTTATCTAAAAAACTCGAGATAAATAATAAGAAATTAATAAATATCGGCAACATATTTTTTTGTTCATAGGAAACTACACAGGGGCAGGTGAAGCCTAGAAAAGTCATGATATGTGGGTTTTGTTCTCTGTAAATTCATGCGCCTTGCCACTAAGAATGATCAATCACATTAAGAATGACTATCTATTACAGTACTTACAGAGGAATTTTTTCTTTTCATCCAAAGTTAATCCATGGAAAGCTTTCCAAAAGAGTAGAATAGTTGGATGTGATTTGTGATATTCTTTTTCATACTGTGAATTCTTGAGAACAAAAGGAAAAAAAGAGGTAAAGTTTTGGGGGAAATATGTATCAGTTATTTGGAAAAGTAGAGGGTACTCATGTCATCACTTACATTTTCAAATTGTGTCCAGTCATAAGTAGCATTTCCAATTATTGCTGTCATTAGCTCTTCAGGCTGTAACCGTCTAATTATATCCCAATGACACACCTGGTAAAATCCTCTATGAAATTCCTCATAAATCGTCTTTACAGAGGTGTTAAAAATGTAATCGACACACTTAGAAACATAGTCTTTCCTTGAGGGAAGAAAAATTAAAAAAAAAAAGACATACCTTATCAGTGACTACAATGTTATCTATTTTGCTCTTTTTGCTCTATTGAGAAAGAAAAGTATATTTCTTCTGTGTAGCCCACAAGTCTATACAACACAGGGAGATGAAAACCTGGCCAACTAGAAGAAAAGTCCTTAGAGGATAAAAGAGAAGGATTCTGGCTTTAGAGTGTTCTCATTTTCCTTATTGCACGGAGCAATTGTAACTCCAATCTGAACATAAGCGTTCCTTGACTTTCTATAGGCATATGTCCCAACGAGCTCATTATACATGGAAAATTCATTTAATACCTCTAACCTACTAAACATTATAGCTTAGCCATTTTGCTCACTGGCTATTCTCCAGCATCATAAGGAAGTATTGTATCTCATGTAACTAGCTTAGAGAATAGTCAAAAATTCAAAATTTGTCGAGTATGATGACTCTGGAATGTCATGTGCTTTCCTATCACAGGAGACTAAGGGTGGGCATAAGTCCAACCATTTGACCCTTGCTTCTTTGTCTCTACACATTCCTCTCTGCCACTCTTATCTTGCTGCCTCTTGTTTGTTAGGGAACCATGCAGTGTAAACATTCTCTCTAGCATGGCATGCTTCTTCTTTACCTGGAAACTTCTATCTAGTCAATAGATTTTCATCCGAAAGTGATGTTCTCAGGGCTGGTGCCTTTTGTTCCTCCTTGCCCCCTTTTCTCTTTTAGCAGAACTAATTTGTGGAAATAAGTTCTGAAAGGTCTGCCTTGCATTATAGAGTACACTTTACATGGTATCATAGATTTCCTGGTGGCAAGTGACACAGTGTGGATGTGGTTTGACTGTCCCACAAGGATTTACGTCTTGACATGTATTTCTCCTATTGTTGGGTATTAAGAAGAGAGAAAGTTGATCTGACTATAGTGTTGATGGTGGGGCCTTTGGAGAGTGGTTAGTTATACAAAATCACCACATAGAGCACCATCATTGAACTCTGGTAGCCCAATGGGGTGCAAGAGGAAGTTCAAAAGAGGCGCACACTCATGCTCCTTCTGTCTTGTCAGGCACTGCTCTTTTCACACTCAAGATGCTGCCAGCAAGAAGGCCACGGACAGATGTGGTCCATGCACTTTCAGAACCGTGAGATAAATAAAACTGCCTTCTTTATAAAGTTACCCAGTGTTTGATATTTCGTTATAGTAATGAAAAGTAGGCTAATTGGGGTTGCCACTAGAAACATGGTCACACACCCCCAACACCCCTTTAAACTGCCTTTGTTAACTGACCTGTTTAAACCTCCTCCTGTCCTCCCCATAACCCGTCAGATGTTGCTAAACGTTTAACAACCAGTTTTCCAAAAGGAAGGTGGGGGAGAGTGGGATGTAAGGAGACAGAGAGGAAGAGAAAAACAGAGAGAGGGCAGGTGGAGGGAAAACAGAAAAGACAGAAAGGAAAACCTCATTTGTAACATTTGCCAATTTTTAAAATATTCCTGCCATGGTGGACTTCAAGTTGCTAATACTTTAATTGAACATTTATGAACAGTTTGCAGTCAGATCCCTTAAGCAGGCACTAATTGATTTATTTGATACATTACATGATGCTCTATTTGGGTATCAGCTTCCTGCCCACTCTGATATAATTTACGCATTTTGTCTTTTTCATAGCTCCATTACCAGTATCTGGAACGGAGTATAGCATAGACTAGGGACTAAAAATCTCTTAGATGACAGAAATATATATTATTGAATCATTTCTTCTCTTCTCCTACTTGTTTAGCATTCTAAAAGATGAAGAACTAAAATGAAGAACTGAGAAGCTCAGATATATTTTAAATTGTTTTGATACAAACATTTAATGCCTATTCAAAGTAGACATTTTAGGTCTCGAATCTTACTTGTTGGTTTGGTTCACAGGTACAGAGACCCCATTTGGAATTAAGTCAACATCTTCTTGGTCCCAGTGTATCTGTAACCAAAATACAATCGAATGATAAACATGAACATAAGTCTGTGATTATTGTCAGTACATATTCCCTATAAAATGTAAAATGACTGGAGACAATCATTTTTCAGTTAAGTCTTTTGTTTGTTGTGACAGAGTCTATTTATGTAGGCCAATCTGGCCTCAGACTTGCCTATACCCCTTCCCAGAATACACCACCACACTCAACTCCAGACCTTTAAACACACACACACACACACACACACACACACACACACACACACACACACACACACACATGCATACATTTAGATTTTTAAGATTTAGAGACAGGGTATTTTTATGTAATGCTGGCTGACCTGGAGCTTGCTATGTAGACCAGGTTGGCCTTGAACACAGAGAGATCCCTTGCCTCTGCCTCTCAGCTGCTGGGATTAAAGGCAGGAGCTACTCTGCCGTATAAAAAAAATTAAACCTTCCTTAATACATGTTGTATGTATATATTTCAAACACAATTTATCCTGTTTAGTTAAGGACAATGTTTGCATTAAATGAATGTTTGCTATATCATATTTAAGAGTCTGTACATATAAGATATACAAATGAAGACCAGGTTGGAGAAAATTTTCACAGAAATATTACCTTTAAAAATATGGACATTTGTCAGCCTGGTCTCCAAAGCGAGTTCCAGGAAAGGCGCAAAGCTACACAGAGAAACCCTGTCTCGAAAAACCAAAAAAAAAAAAAAAAAAAAAAAATATGGACATTTGGGGTTGGGGATTTAGCTCAGTGGTAGAGCGCTTGCCTAGCAAGCGCAAGGCCCTGGGTTCGGTCCTTAGCTCCAGAAAAAAAAAATGTGGACGTTCCATATTAAAGGTTCTATAATAAAAGTATTTTTAAAATAGAAGATAATGGCTGAGGATGTATTCTAGTAGTATAATACTTTCTTGGCATGGATTCAATCTTGAGCAACTCCCCACCAAAAAACCAGATTAAAGCCAACCTAGTTTTTTCCTGTTACTCACGGAAAAATTTATATGAAGTTCTTCAGTGTCACCAGCCTCACAATTTAGAACTTCTTGCAAACTCCTATTGAAAAATTTAATTTAAAATTACATATTTGGTATTATAAAATTTCAAAGTAATAATCATTCAGTGGGGCAAAATTAAGTAATATAGACATGCATAAAATTCAGTGCAAATTTCTTCTCATACTTTTTTCTACTCCTCTTCCTAGAATTATCTTCATTTAAATTTTGATTTGTTAATCAACTCTACCTTGTTGATACTGCTGCATACTGTGAAAATTATTACACAGAGGAGCCCTTACCTCTTAAGTGGGGAGGATTTATTTTGCAAAGTCTGGAGATGTCTTTGGCTGTCACAGTTAAGGGCTGTCATCTAGTAAGTAGTGGTCCCAGACACTATCAAACACATCATAATGCCCAGAACAACCTCTCACAAAGAGAATTCAAACAACCAGATGCCCAATTTTATAGGTCAGTAGATGCTCTTGTCCAAGAGGGAGGAGGCCCGGGTTGGATCCCCACCCAACAAACACATTCAAAGCAGAAAAGCTTAAAATGTCAAAATTGCCAATGTTGAGAAATTCTGCTTTAATAAAAATATACCACTAATAGTCCATGAAAAATAATCATTTCCCTCAATTTTTTGTCAACACTTTAAGAAAAACTTGTTGGCAGAAAAAAGGCATTTCATGTATATTCACTCAGTTACTAGTAAACCTGAGAATGCTTTCATTTTTGATAAACCATATATATCACATATATATATGATTTATGGCACTGTATCTATTTATAAACATACACATATGCACTTATGGTACTATATTTATAAACCATATATATATGTACTTATGGTAGTAAATCAACTTGTAAACCATATATATGCACTTATGGTACTAGATTAATTTATAAACCACATATATACACATAAAGCACTATATTTATAAATCACATCTACCTGCATAAACTTATAGCTCTGTATCTATTTATAAATCATATCTCTGTATATACATACACTAATAGCCCTGTATTTATTAATAAATCACATCTATTTATATAATGCACTTATCACACTAAATTTATAAATCACATCTCTCTACATACACACACTTATAGCACTGAATCTATTTATAAACCACTTCTATGAATATGGACTTAGAGCATTGCATCTATTTATAAAACATATCTATCTATACATGTATATACTTACAGCCCTAAATTTATTTATAAACTATGTGTATATATATATATGCACTTATATAGCACTGTGTTTATTTATAAACCATATACATATGCACTTATACACAACATATATTTATGAAGTGTATCTATATATGTATGTGTACTTACAGCACTATATATATATATAGGATAAAAAGAATAACCAATGCACATCCTGAGAAGTCACCTAAATACTTACATATAGGATAAAAAGAATAACCAATGCACATCCTGAGAAGTCACCTAAGTACTTTCCATCTTGATTAAAGAGCCCAGGTCCAATCTTTTTATTGTATTAGTTAGTTAATGATCAAAGGAGCACCTGGCTTTTCATCATTTTTGAAGGCTTATTGCAAGTCATGATAACGGAAGCTCATCTAAAGGGCTAAACCTTAATACTGTTCTTAACAAGCAAACGTATGCACTTACTTCCCCAAGGGAAAACTGAGTTCTTTTAAATCTTCCAGTGACGGCTCTTGTTTCAGAAGTTTTTTATATAAAGCCAGTGGGAAAGGAAGGTTGACAGCCTTTAAATTGGATAGGGAGAGTCCACACAAGATCCCAAAAAGGTAATAGTTCTTCTTCTCAATCTTAGGCTGGAAAATAAGACGGAAAAAAAACTCCTAAGCTATTATAAATAACCAGTTATACAAAGGCACAATTAGATTAATAAATAACCAATTTTAGCTCCTTTTTCTAATTAACACCCCAAGTTAGACACAAACTGGGTTTCAAAAGACTAAACATTTCAGACTCTGTTCTAAGTTGCAATAAAATTTAAATTTCTTCCATAATGTTCTTTCTGTTGTTTATGTTTGTTTGTTTGAGACTTACAGGATGTTCTCAAAACTCATTGTATAGCTGAGGGTGACCTTGAATTCCTCTTGCTTTATCTCCCAAGTGTGGGATTACAGCCATGTACCATCATGCCCAGCTTCTTGCATAATTTAAATATAAATTAACAATACAGAACATTAAGCAAATATTTTTTATTGTTACTGATAGCATATCTGGAATGTAGAAACAAATGCTCAGGTGCAATTACAAAGTTTTCATTTGGAATTTTAAGGTCCTTCCCTTCCAATTCATGGAGAAAAGCAACCTTGAGGAAGGAAGGTGGCTCTGTATTGATGCTTCAGTTTGGCAGAACAAATGCCAGGTGAGCATTACATGAATGATGTCTCCATTTAGCAGTGCAGTCCCACATAGATGCTTACCATTGGTATAGCTCCCATGGGGCCCCTTTCTCACTCTGGCATCCTGTCTTACTATGCCATCTCTTAGCCTGCAGAAGATCCTGTCCTTATGCCTTGAGCCAAGAGTCCTTGTGAGAGCTAATGAATGTCATCATCATGGCCCTTAGACTTCGAGAGCTCTGAGCTGAATAGACTTACTCTCCTTAACAAAGTACTCAGGTAGTCCATTAAAGTGACACCACCAAAAACAGACTAATGCGGCTGCCTTTACTTTTCTTCTCTGCATCTTGTAGTCCTGGTTAGAAAAACAAAACAAAACAAAACTTTCCAGACCCGAACTGCAGCCCAGGGGAGGAAGTGTTGCTAGTGTGAAATTCTACGATCCCCACTCCAGTGACATTCTTGCTGTAAGCAGGTTCATGAGGGTCAGTAACTCACAGAATGTGCATTCTCCTCACTCCTTGCCTTATTTTCTCCTCAGATGGAATTTTGAAATGAGTTAAAAGTAGAGAACAAACCATCTGCAAAGGCCTCTCCTAACCTACTCAGTTTTCTATCCCATAATTTGCAACATGTACTCTGGTTCAACTTGATTTTGATATTTTATCAAGCCATATACATTTATTAATTGGGGGTATGTGTATATCTGTTTTCTACTGAGCAGAACTGTATGACTATACTTAAAAGTGAGGGTTTTGCTAAGTGTGGTGCACTCCTATAATCCAAGCACTTGGAAGATGGAGGCAGGAGGATCGTGAGTTCAAGGGTAGCTTGGCATTCATAGTAAGACACGGTATAATACAATGTATAAAAAAGATAAAAATGAAGAATATTATAGACAAATCAACCAAGTTTTCAGAATTCAGTTACCTATAGTATTCTGTCAACAGTTTATACTAATTTGAAACATTCCATATTATAACTCTCAAAATTAAGGACACATACCAAATAACTATTCCTCGGAGTTATGTAAACAATTTTAAGATATCCATGCAATAGAATATCACTCCACAGTTAAAAAAAAATGGAATGAACTATGGACACATGCCATGACATGGATGCATCTCCGAGTAATTATATTCAATGGAAAAAAAAAGACAGATATTAAATTTGACCATACTTAACTTCATTTATATAAATTTATAGAACTAGACTATGGTTCACTCTCTAGTGACAAGAAGCAGATCAGTAGTTGCTTAGGAAGGATGGATGTGAAAGGAGTGTGTGAGAGCCGTTGGTAATGATGTACATGTTTATTATTTTGACTGAAGTGATCATTTCCCTGGTGTATAGGTATATCATCAAATTGGGATTTTCTATTGCATTTCAATTACACTTCATTAATGCTAAAGTTTCACGTGTACAGGAATCACTGAGGGAATTTTATACGTGTTATGAGTTCCGATTCTGTAGATCTTGAGTAGGGTCAGAGGGCTGTTTTTTTTGGTTTTTCCTGAGCTCACCAGTAACAGCTCAAGCTGTCCTCCAGCTTTGTCCCCTCCACATGTGCCTTGAACACTGAGGTTTGGTGTAGAGAGCCGTGCACGGCCACGCCTCAAAGATGGCGCCGGCATCCGGCTTCCGCCTTCCCGATGGCAGGTGTTCTCTGGGATAAACAACTCCTTATTTGTCTTGGGCATGGAATCTGGCTTGCTTGTGTATGTCTGGCCCTATCGGCATTGTCCACGTGGCACTACAGGGTTGGTTGCCCAGTGGCTATAAAGGGCATGGGCTGGCTTTCGAGAGAGAGAGAGAGAGAGAGAGAGAGAGAGAGAGAGAGAGAGAGAGAGAGAAAGAGAGAAAGAGAGAGAGAGAGAGAGAGAGAGAGAGAGAGAGAGAGAGAGAGAAGATGGCTTTCCCCGGGGTCAGAAGATTGTCTCAAGGTTCCTGAATAAACTGCTTGGAGAAGAGCCTGGCGTCGCGTCTTCCTTGCTGGTCAAGGCGGACGCGGCAAGTGGTGGCCCGTACGGGGAACCTTTAAGGCTCAGAACTCTTCGCAGTCAGGGCAGTGCACTGGTAAGTCCCCAGGTAAGGTGGGGATCTGCGACAAAAGCGGGAAAACCTAGAGCCGCGACAAAAGTGGACGGGAAAATTGAAGAGTGGAGCCGTGACAAAAACGGACGGGAAGATTAAAGAGTGGAGCCGCGACAAAAGTGGACGGGAAGATTAAAGAGTGGAGCCGCGACAAAAGCGGACAGGAAAATTAAAGAGTAGAGCCGCGACAAAAGCGGATGGGAAAATTAAAGAAAGTGAAAGCAGGTGAAGGCAAAAGTGCTGCTAGTATCATGGGCGCAACTTCTTCGCACCCAATTTTTCTGGCTCTTAACGAGCTGCTCCTTTCAAAGAAATTAGAGATTAAGAAGAGTACTTTAGAAAGATTTTTAGAGGAATATGATATCGTGGCACCCTGGTGTGCAGTTTCTGGAAGCCTCATGGTAGCTTCCTGGGAAAAGTTGGGCCGTGATCTAGACTTCGCTGCAGAACAAGGGATGCTTAAACATGGGGTTAGACCAGTTTGGAAATTAGTGAGAGGGTGTCTCGAAGACCAGCACTGCAGCGATGCGGTAGAGAATGAGCAGGCAGCCTTAGAAATGTTGCAGGAGGAAAGATCAGAAAAGGCCATGTCTGCTAAAGCAGCGTCTACCAGAAGTAAAACAAAAAAGGGGAAAGAAAAAACAAAGTTATATCCTGACCTTTCGGACCTAGAGCATTCCGAGTCCCCTATCTCTTCCCCTGATTCTGATGACATAGAGTCATTATGTGAAACCTTGCAGAGCGTGAGAATAAGAAAGAAAAGGGGTAGAAATAAAGGAGAAAGAGAAAGAATTAAAGGATGTGAGTCTGAGTGTGGAGCCGCTCCCTCAACTCCTCCACCGTATCTGGAATCTGCCTCCATGTCTAGAGTTGTCTCTATGGGGAATTCTTTTAACCCGGAGGTTTGGAGACAGATTAGAACTGAAATGCAGCTAGCTTGCCCAGTGTTTCTCAATGCCCAGACTCAACAGAGATACCATGAACCTTTGGATTTTAACGTCATCAAGTCTCTAGTGGAATCTGTCCAGACTTATGGCATCACAGCCTCATATACTGTTGCTCAAGTGGAGGCTCTGCACAGATTTTGCATGACTCCATCCGATTGGATGAATCTTGCTCGAGCATGTCTCAGCGCAGGGCAGTATTTAGACTGGAAGGCATTTTTGATAGAATTTGCCAGTGAACAAGCTGCGATTAACAGGGCTGCAGGTGGAGGTCAAGCAGTTTGGGATGTAGACATGCTGCTGGGACAAGGCCGATTTGCCAATCAACAAAATGGATATCCACAGCAGGTTTATGACCAGATAAATCAACTAGCAACAAGGGCATGGAAGTCCCTACCTAATGAAGGGAAAGTGAGCAGCAACCTTACTAAGATCCTTCAGGGACCTATGGAAACTTTTTCAGATTTTGTGGCCCGCATGGTCGAGGCTGCAGGCAGAATCTTTGGGGACCCAGATGCCGCGATGCCGCTTATAAAGCAGCTAGTTTATGAACAGTGTATCAAAGAATGCAAGGCTGCGATCACCCCTTATAAGAACAAAGGTCTAGAAGCATGGATGAAAGTGTGCAGAGAATTAGGGGGACCTCTAACTAACGCAGGCCTTGCGGCTGCAGTTATACAACTTAGTAACAAGAAAGGAGGGAACACTGGGGCATGTTTTCGGTGTGGAAAAATGGGCCGTCTCAAATGTAGCTGCCCTCAAGGAGGAGGTAACCAAAGAATAGGGAGGAGCCAACGCCCTACATAGCCTGGACTTTGTCCTAGGTGTAAAAAGGGGAAGCATTGGGCAAATGAGTGTAGGTCAGTCAAGGACATAAATGGTCAGCCTATAACAATGGGCAATCTTTCAAAAAACGGACAGCGGGGCCCTCGGCCTCAGGGCCCGCAAATATATGGGGCAGTGGAGAATCAGGAGCAAGGCGGGAACCCGGAGCAGTGGCCAACCCTCCGTCATCCGAGGAACCGCAGAGAGCCACTACAGGCTTAGCAGGGTTGGACCTCCGTGCTACCACCAGACTCATACTGACTCCGCAGATGGGAGTACAATTAGTGGAGTCTGATTTTAAAGGCCCTTTGAAGCCGGACACGGTGGGTTTATTGATAGGAAGATCCTCCACCACCATAAGAGGTCTTAAAGTACACCCAGGAGTGATTGATCCTGATTATACTGGGGTCGTGAAAATTATGGTTGAGTCTCCAAAAGGAATTACTGCCATTTCACCAGGTGATAGGATTTCACAACTAGTTTTATTACCCAGTTTACATGAGTCCTATCCAGCCGCTGATCGAAACAGAGGAAATAAAGGCTTCGGATCCACAGGGACAGATTTAACTTTTCTGTCCCTTGATTTAGATCAAAGACCCACCTTGCAATTAACTATTAATGGTACCAAGATAACGGGACTCCTGGACACTGGTGCAGATCGGAGCATCATTGCCCGTAAAGACTGGCCCCATGGGTAGCCAGTGCAAGTCTCCTCTCAAACTCTACAAGGGCTAGGATATACCAATTCACCAGATATTAGTGCAGGACAATTACAGTGGCAGGATGAAGGGGGCCATTCGGGTGTTATGCAACCCTACATCCTCGAGCTTCCAGTGTCTCTTTGGGGAAGGGATCTTATGCAATCTATGGGATTCAAATTGAGTAACGAATATTCTAAGGAGTCTCAGGAAATTATGATGAAGATGGGATGTCATCCTAGGTTTGGTTTGGGGAAGTTTCTCCAAGGCAGAAAAGATCCAGTTCAGGCGCAGAGTAGACCACCTAGGCAGGGATTGGGTTTTTCATAGGGGCCACTGAGGAAGGAATTCTCATTTCCTGGAAAACAGAGGACCCGGTATGGGTACCTCAGTGGCCACTTTCCTCTGAAAAGTTATCAGAGGCAGAAGAGCTAGTAAAAGAACAGCTTGAGGCTGGACATATACGACCCTCTGTGTCCCCTTCGAATACACCTATATTTGTCATTAAAAAAAAAATCTGGAAAGTGGCGATTGTTACATGACCTTAGGGCTATTAATAATCAGATGTAGGTCATGGGTCCAGTGCAGCGAGGGCTACCGCTTATCTATGTGGCTGCAGCTCTGGCGCCCATGCGGCAGCGTTTTCCCATAGTAAGATGTGTCCATTACATGGATGATATCCTCCTTGCCGCAAAAGATGAAGGAATATTAGAGGAAGCTTATTCCTGCTTGGATGAAGCATTAAGAAAGAAAGGTCTTTGCATTGCCCCAGAAAAGGTTCAGAAGAATGGGATCGCTCATTATTTAGGCTCTAATATAACCTTTAATCAGGTTGTCCCACAAAAGGTAGAGCTGAGGAAGGATCATCTTCGTACTCTTAATGATTTCCAAAAGTTATTGGGAGACATAAATTGGGTCTGAGGGAGTTTGCATATGTCCAACTATGATTTGAAGCCTCTTTTTGATATCTTAAATGGAGATCCGGCCTTGGATTCACCAAGAGTATTAACTCAAGAGGCTAGGGATGCATTGCAGAAGGTAGAAGATAGACTACAAAAGGCGTTCCTTAGGAGAGTACAGAGTCCAGACAAGATTAGCTTATGCATATTGCCTACCCTTTTACAGCCTACAGGGATTTTATGGCAAGATGGACCTCTGTTGTGGATTCACCCAAAGTTGTCACCTGCACAAACTATACAGCATTATCCCACTGCTGTGGCAGAGCTTGCCCAACAAGGAATCTTATTATGTGTGCAACATTTTGAAGTGTCACCCAAAGAACTCATTACGTCATATGATAGCAATCAAATTAGAATATTAACTGCCACAATAGATGCACGGGCCATATTAAGTTGTTCATTTTCAGGGCCCATTGATTGTCATTTCCCTAAACATCCCTTGCTAACCTTTTACAAGGAACATCCGGTGGTGTTTCCCAAAGTGACTGCCGCTCAACCCATTGTGGGAGCAAGCATTATTTTTACAGATGGTTCTAAAACTGGTGCTGGAGCATATATGGTGGACAATGGGACACCGGTCATACATCAATTTTCCCCAGGAACACCGCAACAGGTGGAGCTGGAAATTGTTTTACAAGTTTTTAGAGCTTGCCCTTTTCCTTTTAATTTGGTATCAGATTCCTGCTATGTTGTTAATGCTTTGAAATATCTTGAATGTGCAGGAGTGATTAAACCCTTTAGTTCTGTGAGCTCCTTATTTCAGCAATTACAAAGTTTGATTTGGCTACGTAAACATCCATTCTTCATTCAGCACATACGTGCTCATACAAGATTGCCTGGTCCTTTAGCTAAAGGCAATGACATAGTAGATCAGTGTACCCGACAAGTGTGGATGTTTATGGCTTCAGCTATACAGCAAGCCTCTGATTTTCATAAAGAATTCCATGTGAATGCACGCACGTTGCAGGCTAAATTTTCCCTTTCCCATGCGGATGCGTGCCAAGTAGTCATGGATTGTCCTCAATGTATTATTTTTCATCATCCCCCTAGTTTGGGAATTAACCCCCGTGGTTTACGTCCCTTAAAAGTTTGGCAAATGGATGTTACACATATCCCTGACTTTGGGCGCCTCAAATACACGCATGTCTCTGTGGATACTTGTTCAGGGATTATACATGCCTCACCTATGACTGGGGAGAAAGCATTGAATGTCATTTCCCACTGTCTGGAAGCCTGGGCAGCATGGGGAAAACCTCAGCAATTAAAGACTGATAATGGGCGGTCGTACACAGGACAGAAATTTAATTCCTTCTGTCAGCGCATGGATGTGCAGTTAACGCACGGTCTCCCTTATAATCCTCAAGGCCAAGGCATTGTGGAGCATGCGCATTGGTCCCTTAAAGAAATTCTTCAAAAACAAAAAGGGGGGATAGGCCATGACCGAACCCCAAGAGAAAGACTCTCTCTGGCATTATTCACCTTAAATTTTTTGAATTTGGATGCCTCGGGAAGTTCATCAGCAGATAGGCATCATAATCCACACAGCCCTATGAAGGGCATGGTGAAGTGGAAAGATATCCTCACGGGTAGCCGGCATGGCCCCGATCCCATGCTGACATGGGCACGAGGTTCTGTTTGTGTTTTCCCACAGGACCGGCTAGACCCTATCTGGGTACCTGAACGATTGGTGCGACGGGCCCCTCAGACGGAGAGACGTGATGACACCCCAGAAGCTGATGTGCCTGATCCTGATAGCCCTGATTCTGACAATCGTGCCAGTGGGAGCAGCTGAGGATCGACTCACGAGCGGAACCTGGTCGGTGGAGTTTGATAACCTGACCCAGATCCTGTGCAATGAGATCATTGCGGTCAACTCCACCCGTGTGCACCTGGCCTCTGCTGCAGAAATGATGTCTTGGCTGCGAAATTCTATCACCTTTTTAAAGGAGCGGGCGGGATTAGGTGCCCTGGCAGGCCTACTGGTACTTGTCTCCCTGATGTGCCTGTGGTGCATTGTTCATTTAAGGGTTTCTCAGCAGCGCAATGCAGCCATGATTATCCAAGCCTTTACAGCCATAGAGGCTGGACAGTCTCCCCAGGCCTGGCTGGCCACATTAAAAGCTTGATCGCGCAGGATGCAAGGCTAGTGCACTGCACTTGGGTCTAGCTGTATTGCAAAACCCAAGAAGAGCAAGTCTAATTGCATGTGGGTTGATACCCTAATTCCCACCTCTGCAAAAAAGGGTATTGGACGGGTCAAGTGTTCTCTGGGTGGATGACACCTGGACTAACACCAGTACAATGTCCAAGTTGTATTTTGGCAGAGATTAGACCTCTGCTCTTGCCTGCTGCTTAAAACAATAAAGGGGGAACTGTAGAGAGCCGTGCACGGCCACGCCTCAAAGATGGCGCCAGCATCCAGCTTCCGCCTTCCCGATGGCAGGTGTTCTCTGGGATAAACAACTCCTTATTTGTCTTGGGCTTGGAATCTGGCTTGCTTGCGTATGTCTGACCCTATCAGCATTGTCCACGTGGTACTACGGGGTTGGTTGCCCAGACATAATGTAAGACATAACTTACATTGGCTGGAAACCACATGTTGGAACTCTTTTCAGGATACATGAACATTCCATACTTGGGGTCTGTCATCTCTTCAAATATGCAGTGGAAGAACTCTGAACTCACCCCTCCACTCTCAGCACGAATTTCTTGAATAAATTCGACCTACAGAAAGAAAATTTCTTTCAAGACTCTTATTTAAAATACAGCTCTTTGCCCTTTGTGGAAAAGTCCTAGGCTTGTCCTGACCATTCTCGAATTCTCTAGAACTGCCACACACACACACTGCTTTACCTCCTTGTAGTGGGTAGCCATTCCAGCATGGATCTGGAAGTTCCAACCCCCATTGAGACTTCGGCAACTGTCACGCCTACAAGGCGGGGCCAAGGGAGGCGCCGGGAGACCCGAGATCTGGATCGGCGGGCGCTCTCTCTGTTGCGGGACCCTGGACTGGAGAGGTGGACTGAGCAGAGCTCCAGAGACACCGCTGGACTGTGATACACCTTCCCCAGACTCCGCGACCTACCTATTCCTTAATTTGTAAGTTACGCCATTAAATAAATCTCCTTTTAACTACGTGGAGTGGCCTTAATAATTTCACCAATATCTGGCGCCCAACGTGGGGACAAGAGTTTCCACCTAAAAACTAACAAAAAAGATTCTAAAACGGAGCTAAAAACAGCTTCCTAATTTTCTCTCTCAAATGAGCGGCAGCTGCCGGTTTGAGCTACTGGCGGGTTGCTGGCGTGCGCACTCGACCTGCAGTGCACTCGACCTGCAGTATGGCGGAAATGAGGCCTCTGCAAATGGCACATTAAGCTACATTGTAGATTTAGCCTTTGCTAGTACAAAACAAAAAAAGAGGTTTCTGGGCTACACGCTGCTTGGATAAAATCATAGACCCACGATAGCTCCCAGAGCTGGTGGTAAAGTACCACGCCAAGTTGGGAAACTGAAGTGGGAGGAGCCAGCAGCGCCAGCGCCGTTTCAGGCTTAGAAGGCTGCAGTTCAAAGCAATAGGCTCAAGCTATTATAAAAAAATAAGCCACGTAGAGATGACTATTACACAGAGAGTCTGGATTGTGTTGTCTTTGGGATTCTTAACTACAGAGAGATGTTTGATTGTAAAGGAAGCTGAGTTAAACCAGTACGTATATTTTAAAGATACTTTGACTTCAAAATTTAGATGTAAGGATATGTTGCTTTGAAAAAGAGTCTCTTTTGTTTCCACAAAAAACAAGAGGCTATGGATTTGTTCCAGAGTAAGATACATCAGGTTTGACCAGCCAAGACCACCTGAAAGGTGACACCAAGGCCCAGATGATCCAACATCCAGAACCATTTCAAGGCAACTGGCTCAGATGATACAGCCTCACGGACTACTCCATGATCCTAAAATTTTCTTTGTTTCCCCAGAAGATACAGCGCCCCCCTCCAGCAGGAAATAGTAAGAGAAGCTACGCCCAAATTCCCAAATATACCAAGCTGACTTTGGAGATGTGTAAAGGTTAAAACCTTCCTTTTTAAGAAAAGAAAAGGGGAGGTGCTGTGGGATGGTCTGTATGTCAAATGTGTTGCTGATTGGTCAATGAATAAATCACTGATTGGCCCGTGGCCAGGCAGGAAGTGTAGGCGGGACAAGTAGGAGAATAGGGCTGGGAAGTGGAAAAGCTGAGAGAGGGAGACACTGCCAGCCGCCATCAGGACAAGGAAGATGTAAAGTACCGGTAAGCCACAAGCCACGTGGCAAGGTATAGATTAATAGAAATGGATTAATTTAAGCTGTAAGAACAGTTAACAAGAAGCCTGCCACGGCCATACAGTTTGTAACCAATATAAGTCTCTGTGTTTACTTGATCGGGTCTGAGCGGCTGTGGGACTGGCGGGTGAGAGAGATTTGTCCTGACTGTGGGCCAGGCAGGAAAACTCTAGCTACACCTCCTCACACCCTGTTTTCCCTCAGTTTGCTGCCAAGCAGTGAAGGCCAGGAGCCCGCTGATTCATATTCTCTTTCAGACTGTGCAACCTTGTCTCTGAAGAACTGCTTTTTGGGTTCTCCAGCCTCTACTTCCTGTAAGCAGCCCTTCTGGTGAGTGTGGGCTGAGGACTTTTGCCTAAGCTAGTTGCCATCGCACTCAGGGGAAACAGATGAACCAGCTCCTCTTTTTAACAGTTCTCCCTGCCTCTGGATTTCATGGTACAGTACTGACTTCATTTTACCCTGCCTGCTCTGACAATTCCTTCTCTACTTCCTTTTCTGGCTAATTTCATTTCTTTCGTTTATTTGTATATCTGATTTCTGGTGCTGGGGATTGAATTGGGACCCCCAGAATGCTAGGCAAGCACTCTACCATTCCCAGGCCTTGTATTTTGAATATGAGCAGCCTTAAGCTTCGTTCCTTCCATTTTTGCTTACTCTGTCTTAGAGAGCTTTCCTGCTGATCTTTGACCAAACTCTTTGGCCTGGTTAGGACTTACAGTGAGGGCAAGGATTAGGAAGGACAGTCTTGTCATGCTTGGTCTATTTTATATCTGTCTTGAAGTTAACATCTTTTTTTTTTTTTTTTTTGGTTTTTCGAGACAGGGTTTCTCTGTGTAGCTTTGCGCCTTTCCTGGAACTCGCTTTGGAGACCAGGCTGGCCTCGAACTCACAGAGATCCGCCTGGCTCTGCCTCCCGAGTGCTGGGATTAAAGGCGTGCGCCACCACCACCCGGCTGTTAACATCTTTTTAAGGACAGTCATTTCCTATAGAGGAAAGAATGTTCTATCGATATCCTCACAACGTATAAGAAAACTAGATACAAAGGGAGTCTGGTTTCTAAAATAAAATTCTTTGTTTTTGATTTGAATCACATGCTGAGAAGTCACCCTGTCTGGTCTGAGTGCTATCCTCCAGGATCTGTTTTCTGTGGGAACTCACTACTTACCCTCTCAGCTGGTATCAAGTGCCCCTGGGACACCAGGCTGCCCTCTTACCCACAGCATTAGTCAATGTTCTGTTAAGTATGCAATATGATAAATGTCCTGAAGTGCCACTCAGTAAATACTCTACAGACATCCACACAGGATTAAATAGAGAGTAAATAAAGAGTGGCTGGAACTGAAACCTACACTGTAGAAAGTCAAGACCAGCAACGTGGGAGAAATTGCCTATTACACTCGCTACCTATTGAGTGCGCGAACAGTCCTAGTTCTTCACTATTTCTTGATTGAATTCTTTTGCATGGGATTTTGCAATTTTCCCAGCCTTCGGCTTGGGTTCATTCATGAGTCTTCTTTGGCTCAAACAATATTTAATGATTGCTAGCTTGCATCTCCAGCACTGCTATGAGAAGAACATGTTTGCTGGTCCCAAGAGGAGGAAGGACATACAAAGTATAACTCAATGTCCTCAGCTAGTATTAGCACAGTGCAGCCAATCCCTATTTAACTTTCAGATACATAAACGAACTCCAACAAAAATCCATATGACTGGGGATATAGCTCAGTGGTAAAGCACTTACTTAGCGTGTGTGGAAATGATGGTTTTATTCCTAGCATCATACATAAAAATGCACATTCATAAAATAAAATACCCAGAAGTTCAGCTGGACTAGATGATTTATAAAATAAATAGTTATTTTTATTTCATTAAGTACTGGGATGACTCATTATAACCATCAATAATGAGTTAACTTGCAACTTAACATGTAATTAAATGTTCTATTCCCTTAAGAGAAAGGGAGAACTTCTGGAAACCTTAATACCTTCATCACCATGGTTGTTAATGCAGTTTCTTATGTCCCCTCCCACAATTAAAAAAAAAAAAGCCCAGTAAGACATTTTTCTTTACCGTTAGTGGTTTCCTAAGGTCAAAGGATTCAGCTTGTCCTAACTGACGCATGGTGTCTTCAACCAGGTGACTTCGTTTGACTCTCAGTATTAGGAATGGTGGTCTCATGCTTTCAGATTCCCTGGCTTCACACTTTTAGAAAAAGACAGTTTTCAGTTGGTTCTCCTTTGGACCTTTAAGACTCTCAGGGATAAAAGTGTGAATGCTGGAACAGGCCTACAGTCCCTGCGGGGGGAAGCTGGAGGATCAAAAAAATTCAAGATCTGGGGCTGGCGAGATAGCTTAGAAGGCAAAGGAGCTTGCTGCCAAACCTCCTAACCTCAATCCCCTCTCTGGAACCTCCACACTGGAAGGAGAGAACTGACTCAAGCAAGTTGTCCTCTGAACTCCGTTTGTAGATGGCAGCACACACACAAACAAATGGCACATAAATGTAAACATGTTTTAGTAAGAAATTAAAGATCATCTTGGTTACTATTTACCAGGTTCAAACTCAAGGCCAGCCCGGGCTACCCAATTCCCCACCATTTTATAAAAACTAATCCTAGGGTTTTTTAAGTACTTCTTTTGTGTTTGCTCCTTTGGTTTTGCTCTTGCAAAAGGTCTCACCAGGCAGCCAAACTTCTTGAACTCATAATACCCCTCTGTCAACCTCCTGAGTGTTGGAATTATAGGCACAAACACCAGGATTGATTTATATTTAGTATTTCCAATCAAATACCTTTTGTCTCTTGCTGCCAATGCTCTATATATTTGTAATTTAACAAAGGTATTATTGAATCTTTAAAATGTAAGATAATGCAATTACAGGATCAATCAAACAAACTGTGACATCTATTGTTCATGTACAAAAATTAGTGACTGGGCATGAACAATTAAGTTATTAAAACTGTCAAAAATCCTTTACTGTAGTAAGCATGATCAATGCTGGTATCAAACATATTAAGTGAACAATTTACCACCAGCCTCCAGAAGTCCAGTGGTAGCATCTAAACCTCAGAAATGACTCTAAGGGCTGTGGAGGAGACAAGGAAGAAGACAAAGAGAAGACATTCTCTGAGAGGGTGCTCTCTGCAAATAATAACCGTCCACTTTGGAAGTCTCTAAAACTGTGCTTCAGGGAGTCACTGTTACTAAGCATTGTCCTGGCTATTCTAAATGGGAGTATCTTGAGCTCCCCTAAATTGTCGACACTCCTTCACGACTGTAGGCCTTGGTCTTGCTTCTGTTAAATTCCTTTGGATTGGAAATTTAACAATGGACTTGGGTACCCTTGATTTAACCTTCAACACACTTCTGAGCCTTCAGATCTATCACCTGGATGATAAAGCAATATTTAGGAATCATGAGGTGACAGTTTGATTGGTGGATAACAAGTTTCTAGGCCAGGTGTGTTTGCCCATATAAGCTTTCTACCATCTTAGGTAAGGGTATATGTGACTCTGGGCTGGGGAACCCCTACTTGAGATCTCTGCCACCACCACATACTGAGACATTTATACGATTCTACTAGATTGTTCTGCTATTCCTTGAGCTTCCCCCGACCCAGGGTTCTTAATTGACTCCTGTGTTCGGGAGTCTGTAGTTCTGGGATGCTTCAGCAACATTGACTTGACTTCTGGAAAACATTGTCCATGGCTCTGAGTGACACACAATGGCTACTGACTGTAGCAGGCAGAAATACCTGTAATTTCCCTTGCCTCGTGAAGACCTAGATTGAGAATTGTAGTGGGTAGCCATTCCAGCTTTGATCTGGAAGTTCCAACCCCCGTTGAGGCTTCGGCAACGGTCACACCTACAAGGCAGGGCCAAGGGAGGCGCCTGGAGACCTGAGATCTGGATGGGCTGCGCTCTCTCTCTGTTCCTGGACCGTAGACGGTGGAGGTGGGCCAAGCAGAGCTCCAGAGAACACCGCTGGACTGCAATACACCTTCCCCAGACCCCATGACCTACCTATCCCTTCATTTGTAAGTTGTCTACTAAATAAATCTTCCTTTTAACTACGTGGAGTGGCCTTAATAATTTCGACAATATCTGGAATGGCTACCCACTACAGAGAATCTCCATCTTATCCTGTTGTCCACATTATCTCCACCTGTTCTCCATACTGGAGTCCCCCCCTTTCTACATCACTGCATTTGAATTGGTTAGGTAGTTTGAAGTAATTAGATTAGTTTGAAGTTTACCATTTTGACTTTGTACATCATATCCTTTGGAGACTAGAACTATGAAGTCTGCTTCCCAAGTATGCCCATAAGACTTGCTACTAGAAATGCTCTCTCCTAGCCTTTCATGATGTGTAACATGTACATTTATTTACTCATTAACATGATAGACTAGACATTCTGTAGAAGAAAATACTACATATGGAAGGAATTGTTTGAAGGGATTTTAAGGGGAGGTTATGTTTGGGAAGAAGGCTTCACTTTTTCCTTTACCAGACTGTCAGGGAGATGAATGTAGAAAAGACTTGGTTAGACTGATGGTACAGTGATTACCAGGAGCTAGTGACAGCAGAGGGAGAGTCTTTACTTTCAGAATGGCATTACTAGGATGTTCTTTGTGTCTTAATTGCTTATTGTAAAAACCTGGAATTTATGGCACAGTACATTGGCAAAAGTCGTATGTAATTAATAGAATATAAAAAGGAAATATTTTGGTGTTGAAATGGCTTATTTTGTGGACACTGTGTCCTAGACTTATTTGTTTTATAGAGATGGCCAATGATATTTAAATTCATAATAAAGACAATAATGTTTGTGATGTTGGATTCCAACGAATCATTAAAATCTACATATCGTAAATCAATATAAACCTTTCCTGAGAAATGACCTAGAAAACAAGCCTTAGCAATAAAAAATGTTTGAAAAACTCTTAATACACCGTCTAGGGAAAGAACATTATATATCTAACAAGAAACTTAGGCTGATGGTGAGCAAGAAAATATGTAAATGCTGTGTGGTAATAATATAACTGTGAGAAAGGAACAAAATGGTCAGAGTGGAAAGTAAGTTCAGCGAGCAAACCAGCCATCATCTCAAAATCAGAAAAATATATGTTGGGTATAGGATATAGATGTCCTGTTTAGGGCTGAGCACTCTGCAAGCTCTTATTCTTTGCATGTTGAGCGTTATGGATGGGCCTCTGTGTTAATTGCTGTGCATCTAAGAAGCAGTTTCTTTGATGAAGTTTGAGAAATTCACTAACAATCTATGGGTACAGCAATAAGTCATTACTAGTTGTTTTAATACCATGTCCAGTTAGCAGAATAATATTAGTAAGTTCTCCCCTAGGGCCTCTAACTTACCTGGACACAGGTTCCTTGGCCCCAATAATGGCGCCAGGTATTGGTTTAATCTCATAGAGTGGACTTTAAATTGAACCAGAAAATGGTTGGTTATTTCCATAGCACTCATGCCCCTATTGCACCACTGGGCATATCTCGCCAGGACAGTCAGGACACACAGGTGAGTGAGACTGATGATTATTTTTCTCCTGTGGCAGTGTGCATAGCACCTCCCAGCACCATGAAAGCTACCCAGTAGGAGTGAAGCTTCCAAACCAGTACCTGCTGGATCTCTCCATGTTCTATGAGTCAAGGATGAAGCATCTTGTCTTCAGGGATAGGGTCTATATCATACTCCTTCCCTACAGTTTCAGGGATTTTCACAGAAGAGAGGGTGGAAAGATTGTAAAAAGCCAGGGGAGGTAGAACACAGTAGGGCAGTTAGTTGCACATATGAACTCACAGTGATTGTGACAGCATGCACAAGAATTGTGTAAGTTTAACCCAGACAAAATCCCAGCATGGAGTCATGGGAGGGGGTGAGTACAAACCCCCACCCCTAACTGAAAAGATACTGGTCTGTGATAGCAGCAGGGGAGGTATGACTGCTGGTAGGCTCGACACCCAAGAGTATTGGGGTAACACAAATTGGCTAGGGTTAAAAAAGAGGGCGGTGGAGAGAAATAGCACGAAGTTGGGTGGAAAGAGAGGTGAGAATGGATCTGGGAGGAGTTTGATGAGAAGTTACTATGAGCAAAATACATTATACAAAATTATCAAAGCATTAATAAAATAGTATTAAATGTGTTGATGCTTATAAGCCAAGCTCCAAAGAACTAAAGAATCTGAAGCCTGGCACTAAGATCACAGCCATAGTTAAAATCAGATAAAGTGAGGAGAGGGAAAGAATGGCTTACTAGGAATGTTCATGTAGGGAAATGATGTCACCTACAGAGAGTAAGGACTGGAATGTAAAACGAGAAACACAAATTAAACTGAATCATGATTAACTGGTCAAAGGTCACGAAGGTCATTAGCATTCTGCTCTGGTGAAAGATTGAAAGGGGGTTTTATACATTGCTGATAGGAACATAGACTGGTAAAATAAATACAAAGTTTATACTGGCAACATTTAATAATTAAAAAGAAAAGGTTAAACCCTAATTGTCGTGCTAGAAACCCCATCCAACTACTGAGGGATCTGGATGCAGAGATCCATGGCTAGGCCCCGGGTGGATCTCTGGGAGTCCAATTAGCGAGAATAAGGAGGGTTTATATGAGGGAGAATTGTTGAGACCAAGGTTGGATAAAGCACAGGGACAAATAGCCAAACGAATGGAAACACATGAACTATGAACCAATGGCTGAGGGGTCACCAACTGGATCAGGCCCTCTGAGTGGGTGAGACAGTTGATTGGCCTGATCTGTTTGGGAGGCATCCAGGCAGTGGGACCGGGTCCTGTGCTCATTGCATGAGTTGGCTGTTTGAAACCTGAGGCCTATGCAGGATTGCTTGGCTCGGCCTGGGAGGAGGGCTCTGGACCTACCTGGACTGAGTCTACCAGGTTGATCTCAGTCCACGGGGAAGGCTTTGCCCTGAAGGAGGTGGGAATGGGGGTTGGCTGGGGGGAAGGTGGGGGGGGGGAGGGGGGAGAACAAGGGAATCTGTGGCTGATATGTAGAACTGAATTGTATTGCAAAATAAAAATAAAAAAAAATTAAATAAAAAAATGCACTTAAGGAATAAAAAAAAAGAAAAGGTTAAACATTACACTACTTTGTTCTGTGAGTAATCAAGTAATAGCTCGGATTAACAACATTACTTTCAGAATTCTAGATAATGACTTAGATATGGTAAGATCAGAAATATTGCTATGTTGAAACCTTAACAAAAATAAGAGATGAAACTTCGATACTTTTTCTATCTGTGCAAAAGTAAAAGTTGGTAAGAAACCTAAAATGAAAGAAGCATGGGGTGACCCCTTAAGTGATAAAGTCAGCACACACAAAAACGAGGCAAGCAGAATTAGAAGATTAGAAGATCATATGTGCAATGAATTTTGAGCTGGCATTTTTCTCAAAATACTTCAGAAGAGAAACTAGTAACAACTGCAAAATTAATAAAAGTGGTAGACCAACATGTGGTAAAATGTCTGTATCTGATAATATTGGTGATGGGTACCATTATTTTTATTTTATATATGTTTGAAATTTTCATAACAAAAATGTTAACCCATATTGACTTGAATATCATTTGGCTGTCTCCAAAGAATCATGTGAAACTTTGACTCCAGTGTGGTGATAATTAAATTCTAAATTGGACTTCTGGAAAATAATTAGGTTATGGGACACTACCCTTGAAAGGGATTACTATTAGCCTCACAGAGTAGGTGATTCCTTGTGAGAATAGGTTGTTATAAAGTGAGGCCATCCAATACAAGAGGCCCCTTCAGCACATGGCAAAGTCCTTTTACGCTTCTCCTCGTATTTTAATGCTGGTGGGGAGAGAGAGGGTATCGAAGAAGTGAGGGCAGGCACATCTGGATTCCTGCAACATGTTGTTGAACTTCCAAAACTCCGAGTTACATATATCTGTTTATAAAGTATATTTTGTCATGGCAACAAAAACATACATACCATCAGCTTTACAGAGGACTCATAATTCATTAACTTAATTTTGGATGGCAAATCAAAGCTGAATAGAAAATCATTGAAAACAGTAGGATCGGGGCATTCTAAAAATGGCTAAGGAGAAAAAAAGAAAGAAAAGTAAGCAAACAACAATTTTGACAATGAAAAGAAAAACAACATTAATTCTTTTCCTTAAGTTCATCACTTTATTTACTGTTAGGATCTTTTGAATCTATTTTTAAGAATGCCATTACCAAGAAGCACCCCCCCTTTCCCTTTGTCCCTCTGTCTGTCTGCCTGTTTGTCTGTCTTTCCTTCTTCATTTTTGAGACAAAATGTCATGTATCCCAGTTTGACCTCAAACTGACTATGTACCAGAGGATGACCTTGCACTTCTTTTTTAAAAAATATTTTTAAAAATTTAAATTACTTTATTATTTTACATGTGCGGGTGTTTTATTGTCGCACATGCGTCTGCCCTCCAGATGTGGGCAGTGTCTGCAGTGTCCAAAGATGCCAGAAGAGGGCATCTATCCCCTTGAACTGGAGTTGCAGACGGTTGTGAGCCACCATATGGGTGCTAGGAACAGAACCCAGGTCCTCTGGAAGAGCATCCAGTTCTCTTAACTGGTGAGCCATCTCTCCAACCCTGACCTTGGCTTCTGATCCTCATTTCTCCACTGCAGTGTAGAGATTACAGGCATGCACTGCCATACCTGGTTTATGCAGTAATGGGGATCAAGAACTCAGGCCTCCATTCATGCTAAGCAGGCGCTCTATCAACTGAGCTACATACCTAGCCCTTAGAGGCACATTTATAAGAACATACATTTGTTTTGTGAGCAAAATGTTTCAGTTTTCAATGGCCATGCAAGTTAGCCAGTTTAGTATGGTAATAAGGACATTTTCTAATCTAGGGATATAGCATAGCTGTTAACATGTCTTGCTTTATATCATGAACATTCTCCAAAGGAATATGTCATACTTACCGGATTGTGATACAAGAAGAACAGTATGCGTTGTTTTATAATGATGTCTAAGATGGCAGAAAGCTCATTTATGATGAAAGTACTTTCTGGAAGTTGATGGTTAGCCTTAAAGAGAACATGACTGTAGCATGAATCTTAAAGGTACTAATTAATAAAATCAAACCTGAGGTCAGTTATTGAGGTGAATGCTGGAAGATCAGAGAAACAGAAGAAGCGACAGCTACCTCACCTCGCTAGTTCCTCAGTTGGTCTTGTTTCCTCAGACTGGAAGCCTCTGAGTCCTTATCCAAATGAATCTCAGCTGAACTGCTTCTCGAAAGCCTGAATGCTTAACCAGCTAAAAGCTTCTAGTTTCTGGTCTTCACGCCTTATATACCTTTCTGCTTTCTGCCATCACTCCCTGGACTTAAAGGCTCACTTTCTGGGATTAAAGGCATGTGTCACCATGACTGGCTGTTTCCAATGTGGCCTTCAACTCACAGAGATTCAGAGGGATTTTTGCCTCTGGAATGCTAGGATTAAGGGTGTGAGTGCCACCATTTTCTAGCCTCTATCTAGTGGCTGTTCTGTTCTCTGACCCAAGGTAAGTTTATTAGGGTGCACAATATTTTGGGGAACACAATACCACCACACATGAACTGGAATTTCATTTTCTATTAATAAATTATGTAAAGTGTGATACCTACATTTATATGCATATCTAAATATGCATTTCTCAGTGATGGAGTAAGGGTTTTTAGACAGACAAGTTGAGTTGGATGGAATAACCTTCACTCTGCATATTTCACTGGAAAATCAAATTTTGTCACTCAAGAATTTTCACATGGTATCTATCAGTCACTAAAATTCTGGCTTATCCATGGTGTCTTTTCTAGTGCTAATCCCTCTGTACATTTGCAGGACAGTTGATTTTTTTCCTTTACTTATATCTACAAATGCTTGTTGTATATCAATTTGTATATGTGTGTTTTTCTTCCTTTTTCAATTTCACATGTATATATTTATAATACTTGGGGAAATATTGTATGTATCCCAAAATACAATCCATATAAGGCACTTGTGGGCATTTTACAAAAATCTTAATAAATTCAATTAAAATTAAAAAAATAATCTTGAGAGGGATTTCATTCCATGTCAGAATAATGATGGAGGTAGTGTAGGTCATGGTAGGACAGTGGTGAGGAGCCTTTTCTAATAGGAAACGTTAGGGACAGGCCTCAAAGAAGGTGACACAAATCTCTAAAAGAGGTCTATGGTGACAGAAGAACCTCTTAAAACTATATCTTCCAAGAGCGGATAGATGTAAGAACTCCAGGGATGTAGCCTCAGGGGTTACCTGCTCTGACCTCAAGCCAAACAAACATCCATCAGTTGCTGAAAGGATACAAATATGTTTATAAAATGAATGAAAGAACTCTATAAAATATGTAATAATGTAAGCAATTGAAGAAGATTTAAGTGAATGGAGAGGTGGACAGGAGCAGCCTCAATTTTGTAATTCATCTGTTCTCTCTATTCTATACATTCAAATCAATGCCAAGTCAGAAACATGGCCAATGGCCCAACAAACAGACTACGTGTGATGGTACAATCCTCACACTTTGGAGACTGAGTTGGTAGTCAGCCTGGGGAATGTAGAAAAACTTTTTCCACTAAAAAGCAATAATGAAACAAAACAAAAATTCTAATAGGCAAAATTTGAAGAATAACAATATACATTTAAATATTACATTAAATCCAACAATCCTAAAGAATAAAAGCCCTGACCTGTTCTACCACATATCAATATTTGTCATAAAAATACAGTGACTAGGACAGTTTCTCGGTTTTGTTTTATTTGTGGCAGAATCTCATGTAGCTTAGACTGACTTTGAAACTGATACCAGATGTGTGTGTGTGTGTGTGTGTGCGTGTGTGTGTGTGTGTACACATACACACACACACACACAATATCTATACCTATATATAGATAGCTGAGAATGAACTTAAACTTCTGGTTCTCCTTGCTGTACTACCAACCACTGTAATTACAGAATAAACCACTTTGCCCAGATAGGAGAGTGGTAGAGGACAGATAAACAAGTTGGGTGTAATTAGGTGAGCATCTGATTTTCTACAAATGGAATACTAAAAATCACCAAGGAGAGATGTAGTTTATAAAGAAGTAAAATTAATCTATAAGGGAAAGGTTAGATTTAAGAAGCAGTATCTTTCACAGGGAGGTGATAGAGCGTGCCTTTAATCCCAGCACTTGGGAGGCAGAAGCAGGTCATCTCTGAGTTTAAGGCCAGCCTGATCTGCAAAGTGAGATCCAGGACAGCCAGAGCTACACAGTTCCCTCCCTTCTCATTCAAGCCATTACTGCATAGTATTTCAAAACGCACAATTAAAATATATGTACCCATGTATGGAAGACAAAGAAGAAAAAAAAATCTATAAAGGCCTCCACCCTGCAAAATTTGGGTCTCTAGCTCTTTGGATAATAATCTTCTAGAAGCCTGTCACATAATATACTGCTTCCTGGTAAAAGTAGCCTTGGGGTCCATTTCTTGGACTAGAAATCCTGTTACATTGAGACTACCACCCATAGCAGAAAGAAGATGACCCAGTCTGGCCAGTGACTTCTGAATACGGCTGATTCTGGGCACCCGGGTAGAGAGCCCTGTACGGGCTTTCCTTCAGCCTGCTTTTTTAACATTAACTTTTACTACATTATATATTCAACAAATGAAAGTAACCGTATAGCTTGATGAGTTTTTACGCCGCTCCCCACTTCTCAACTAAGTACTGCCCAGATGAAGACACGTGAGCAGCTCCCCTCCGTGACCTCTGCGTCAGCTCCTGCCTCCAGGTTCCAGCCCTGCCTGAGGTCTTATTTTCACCTCCTCCAATGATGGACTATGACCTGGAAGTGGAAGCCAAATAAAGTCTTTCCGCCCCAACTTGCTTTTTGGTCATGGTGTCTCACTGCAGCAATAGAAACCCTGACTAAGACAGCGAGAGAGTGAGAGAGAAGGAATGCTTGAAAGAGAATAGTAGGACACAACTGATATGAAAGGGGAAATGGGAAAACCAGGGAGACTTTAACTTGGGACGGGGTGGAGGGGTCATTACAGAAAGGAAGTGAGAGAGCAGGTGAAAATGACATTAGGGATGTTTTAAAAAGCGATAGGAATCCTTTTATTTTATATTAAATTAAAATTACATGATTTTATATATATGTGTGTATGTATGTATATACACATACACACAAATACACAATACATAAACACACACACACACACACACACACACACACACACACACACACACACAAATTTATGCCACTTGGGATGACAATGCTCTCCACAAGGCCCCTAGACTATCTAACAAGAACTCCAGTACCACACATTAGAAACATTCTTTAGAGTTGTTGGTCAGGGTAGTTCAAGAGACTCCCAAAAGAATTAGGCTATTTCTGCTGCCTTTGGCTACTTCCCAGAGGTTGAAAACACCATACCCGTCAGACACAGGACTGACAGCATTAGATATGGATCTGACCTGAAAACCTCCTCCCGGGGGAGGGGGGGGGGTCTAGTTTTTATAGTCTCAGAACATATTACAAAAGCTGCCAAGGGAGGGAGGCAGTCAATAGTTCTACTAAGCTGTGATGCCTATGATTCACAACTCTGACAAATAAGGCGAGGTATCTCTATAGGTGGTACTCAAATCTTGGCAGTAACCAGCAGCTCTCAATTGGACTTAAGTAAAGCCCATTCAACAGGAGGGAAATCATGCCTGGTACTGGAAACGCAGACAACTACCGAGGGCTGGTGAGGTCCAGATCTTAGAGGAGAACCTACTACTGCCACTTTACTAGACCAGTACAGTTCCCAACAGCATTCCAAATACCCATCCTTGTATCCACCTATAACCGTAGCTCTTACCCCTTATCAACAATGCTTCTCTTTGTAGCAGATATCGACCTTTACAGGAAACTACAACTGATCAAAGTGCAGAGAACAACTGATCTTGTGTTGTCCAGACCCAATGGATACCTCTACAATGCCTGTATCTGAGTTTCAGAGAACTCTGTGAGAGAGGGGGATGGAAAGATTACAAGAGATAGAGGACCAGGAAGCCTGCTGTACAATTATGTCTCCTAGAAATGACAGGGAAGCTGCACCCATGATACCTCAATGATAAGGTTGCCTAAAAGATGTCCGAGCAATGACAGTACCAACAGATATGCTATTGGGGAAGGTAAAAATGTCACAGTGCTCCACCCCTACAAAAAGGACTACAATAAAACCTAAGGACTGCTGGATGGTGGTGGCACACGTCTTTAATCCCAGCACTTGGGAGGCAGAGCCAGGCAGATCTCTGTGAATTCGAGGCCAGCCTGGGCTACAGAGTAAGTTCCAGGACAGGCGCAAAAGCTACACAGAGAAACCCTATCTTAAAAAACAAAAACAAAAACAAAAGCACCCTAAGGACTGCTGAGAGAGAGAGAGAATTGGTCATCTCCATGGATGATACCCTAACTGGTTATTTAATACTAGGTGGTCAGCTCTGGAGTCATATCATTAGAAGCAGCACTAATGGACTCAACAGGTTGACTTCATACATATATGCATTTATACACATATGTAACAAAATAATTAAAGAGTTCATGAATTTGAGGGAAAGTTGGGGAGACATGAAAGGGGTGGCAGGGAAGAAAGGGAAAGGGGAAATGATAGAATTATATTTTAATTTAAAACATTTTAAAAGTGTGGGCTGGAGGGATGGCTCAGCAGTTAAGAGCACTGGCTGCTCTTCCAGAGGTCCTGAGTTCAATTCCCAGCAACCACATGGTGGCTCACAACCATCCGTAATGAGATGTCTGGTGCCCTCTTCTGGCCTGCAGGCATATATTCAGGCAGAACACTATACATAATAAATAAATCTTTAAAAAAGTATATTTTTAAGAGTCTTAACTGGTAGTCACCAATCTGATTACAGAGAAAACCCAGCTCAGGTACCCAAGCAGTAGTGGAGAGGGTATGTGAACTGACCTTCCCCTGTAATCAGATTGATGACTACCCTAACTGTCATAATAGAACCTTCATTCAGTAATTGATGGAAGCAGATGCAGAGATCCACAGCTGAGCACTGGGCTGAACTCCTGGAGTCCAGTCAAAGAGAGAGAGGAGGGATTCTATGAGCAAAGGAGTGAAGAGCGTGATGGGGAAACCCACAGAGACAGCTGAGCCGAGCTAGTGGGAGCTCAGGGACTCTGGATTGACAGCTGGGGAACCTGCATAGGACCGAACTAGGTACTCTGAATGTGGGTGACAGTTGTGTGGCTTGGGCAGTTTGTAAGGCCACTGGCAGTGGGACCAGGATTTATCCCTGGTGCAAGAACTGGCTTTTTGGAGGCCATTCCCTATGGAGGGATGCCTTGCTCAGCCTCAATACAGGGGGGAGGGGCTTGGCCCTACCTCAATTTGATGTGCCAGACTTTGTTACAGACTTTCCATGGGAGGCCTTACTCTCTCTGAGTAGTGGAAGGGAGATGGAGTAGGGGGAAGGTAGGGGGAATGGGAGGAGGGGAAGGAGGGGGAAATGTGATTGGTATGTAAAAATGAGAATAATAAATTAAAATAAATAAATAAATATATTTTAAAGTGTTTAACTGGCTGATATCTAAAGAATTATTATTTAATGAATTTGGTATATACATTCCTTTAGAGGAAACCTTACCTTATGCACATGTTTCATCATTTCTAAAAGAACTTTAAGATCATATTGATGCTGTTCGATTGAAACTGGATCACACAGTTGAGAGATGATGATGATAGCTTCCTTTAGCATCTGGACCAGTGTATTGAGAAAAGAAACTTCCAAAGATGTCCAACACTTTTCTGAGGGTGTGAAAACCAAACATGAGAAATATGTTCCTCCTCTCGGCTCTTAAATCCTGACGTTTCTGCTGGATTATTTTAAGACATATCTACCCTCATAACCATAAACCAACTCTTCTATGGATATTATCACAGACAACATACTCAGCAGATGTAGGGGAAAACTTTATTCTGAAAACATTAAATCATTAAAGAACTCAAACTCAGGATTTGAAGAAACTTGCTAATGGCTCATATTTATGACTAATTGGTTGGCCATGGATTTTTTTGTTTGTTGTTTTTATTTGATTTGATGTTTCTGGGATAGGGTATTGTTATGTAGCCCAGGCTGGCCCTGAACTTCTGCCAGGCTTCCCTCCTCATCATTTGGGTGCTGACATTAAGATCATGTGCTGACTTACATTCAAACTAGCAATTTCGCCAAACAGCTGCAAAAATCTAAAGCTATACAGATGAATATACAATCAATATTATTGATACTTTTATCTACAAAATAAAAATGATGCCTGTTTTCAAAGTTCATAAACAATGGTAACATGCATATACACTTATTTTAAAGAGCAGATACCTCACTTTTAACATTATTGAGATTACATTGGATTTTGGTACTTTTAAATAGAGTTCTCAGACAATAACTTTCGTAAATATTAAAATCCCAGTTCTCAGAAGGCATTGGCAGGAAAATGGCAATCCTGGGTGACAAGAGACTCCATCTCAAAAAATAACAACAAAAAGGTTCAAATAAATTACCAAGCTAATGCAATTAAATGATATTACCTAGATGCATATCACACAGATCATGAACCTGAGTTTGCAAGACATTTAGTACATTGTATATTCTGAAAACAAAACTTATCACTTAACAAAGGTGCAGAGATATTTTAAAACTTGTTAGAAAAAATTAAAATCTTACCTCCATAAACCATATGGGTCAAAGATTGAAACATGAAAATTATAATGGGAAAGAAATTCTGACATTTTTTAGAAACATGGGTGAACTCAAGAACTTGCTAAATAAGCCAGGAACATGGGATGTTTTCTTGAGTGTAATCTAAAAATGTTGATCTCATAAAGGTAGAAGGAAGTGACCAGGGAGGGAGGATAATTAACTGGTACAAGTGTGCAGTTGGAAAGACTTCCAACATTCCAACATTGTAAAGCAGTTAATAATAATTGTTTAAAAACAGTCAGTAGAAAGAATTTCAAATATTCCCAAAATAAAGAAGCAATAAATGTTTGAGATGAGTTAGATTGATTTGAGTTAGATAGATTTTATTTATTTGATTTTCATACACTGTAAAAATGTCATACTGGGGCTGAAGAGATGGCTCAGCAGTTAAGAGCACTAACTGCTCTTACAGATGACAGAGTTTGATTCTCAGCACCCACATGGCATCTCACAACCATCTGTAACTCCAGTTCCAGGGGATCCAACATTGTCTTTTGGCTTCCTTGGCCACAGGCATGAATGTGGTACACAAACATTCATGCAGGCAGAACACCCGTGCACATAAAAAAATTGATAAAAAAGTCAGACTGCACTCCACAAATATGCATAATTACTATTTGTCAATTAAAATATCTTTAAAAATAAATAAAAATGATAGTATGAAGGGTTGGGATTACAGCTTGGTAGTAGACTGTCTGCCTAACATGTTCAAGGTGCCAGGTTCAGTCCCTAGCACCAGACATACCACATACATGCAAAAATTATGGTAGGAACATGGGAACTTTTTTTTTTCAATTTGAGAGTGAGGCAGGCCTTTTGAAATGTGACTCCTAGATCTAGAAAAGAAAAGCACTTTTTGAGACAATGTCTTATGTTACCCAGGCTTCACTATTTAGCCAAGGCTGACCTTGAACTCCTGGTCCTCTTCTTCTACCTCCCAAGTGCTGGAATTGCAGATGTTCACTCCCATACCCAGAAAAATCTCTTGGAAAAAAGTGCAAATGCTGGAGCTGGAGAGATGGTTTCGTGGTTAGGAGTCAACCAAATCCAGGTTCAGTTCCCAGCACCCACACGATGGTTCACAACCGTCTGTAACTCCAGTTCCAGGGCATCCGATATTCTCTTCCTGCCTCCATCAGCTCTGGGACACACTTGATGCACACAAATTCACTTAAAGTACACACACATAAAATTTTTTATATTTAATTTAAAAAATGCACTTCTCAATCAATCAATAAAAATGCACATACAGTTTAATAATTTAATCCCATAAATGTGCTTTGCATTTTCATTTTTCTCTCATGTGTAAGTTTATAGACATCAAAGAAATACATGTCAATTACTATTACAGCCGCAGAAGAATGGAAGCAACTTTCCACTGCACATTCCCTGTTCTGTACTGGAATTTGTTCCCCTAGGCCTGTGCACTGGCAATGTGAAAGTGATGGAAACTTTCAAAGCTGGTTTAACATAGTCCTTAAGCAATCAATTAACATAGTCCTTAACTATAGGACTGTTATATCCTATAACATAGTCCTTAAGCAACACTTGGTAGTTCTTGAGAGAGGGTTGTTATAAAAGTGTGTGTGTGTGTGTTGTATATGCACATGCACACATGCACAGAGGACAGAGCAGGATGTCCAGTGTCTTGATTTATCATTCGATGCCTTATTCCTTTGAGAGCGGTTCTTTCACCGAGTCTGGACCTGGTCTGGTAGCCAGCAAGCCTCAGCTCTTCTCTTTTCCCTGTTCCTCACAGCCCTGGGGTTCCAGGTGCATGCAGTGATGCCAGCTTTTCATGTGGGTGCTGAGGATTGGAACATGTGAACTTATCCACTGAGCCATTTTCCCAACTACCATAATGGGGGCTTTGATGTTTCTACACAAAACTTAAGAGTCTGTAACCTCCTTCAAAGATGCTACAGGAATCTTTTATAGTTTACTTATACTTACCCTTGTATTTTTTAAACCTCAGATCTTCAACATTCATTTAAAATTATGAAAATATCATAATTTTGAATAAAATAACAGTGGTAAGTTTAACCTCGGTTTTTAGTCAAATGTTTAAAGTTTTCAAAACGGGAGCAAAAATTGTAATGTATGATTTACTGTGATTGGACACTGTATGGTTAACAAAGTCTAATGCTAAAGTCCTACCCACATCTAAGAACAACACTTGCTCTGTGTGATTAGAGGGGTAGTTTTTGGTTAATCTTTGCAAAACTTCACATATCATGTACTTAAATAGGTATGATAAAACCTATTCAATGTTTACTACAATTTCTACTTCAAAAGCAATTCTACTGAATATATTTATAAAATATTATAAAACTTACTCAAGAATGCTAATGATTTCTTATTCATTTCATAAATACCCTTTGCAAATTTAACTGTCAGGGTCTTCCGCTTCTTAGGATCCTGCATCATGAGACATTCCGGGAGCAAAAGAAAAATCAATAGAGCATCTTGATGTAGAGAATGATATGGAAGAGCTTTGATCAGATTATCCTCAAGACATGTGGCTATCTGTGGTCAAAGGGGACAAAGAACAAGGATGGGGTTATAGAAGACACAGTACTGTGAATGAATACAAGTCACGACTGCAGGTTTCATTACACTATCTTCCAATTAGGAAGTTCATTTAAGTCCTTCTGGAGTCTATTGATAAAACACCATCAACTCTTGAACATTCCATGTACCTTTGAGGTAGTACTCACTTGAGCCATCTGCCCATTGTTTTTAGGGTACATGAAGGAAATAAAGTGAAATCACATGTAAATGAACACACACAGTAAATAGTTGGCTTGAAACTAATGCAAAGTCCCCCAGGAACAATTCTGCAAGCTAGTTGCAGTGGCACACATGTGGAGTCCATCACTCAGAAGGCTGAGATGAGGGATCACTTGAGCTCACAAATTCAAAACCAGTTTGGATGAGGGCTTGCCTATTGTGCATGAAGCCCTGGCTTTGAGCCACAGCACCATGTAAACCAGGTATGCCACTTTTGTCTTTATTTTTTTCATAGCCAACATAGCTCTGAATTGTTCCTTATTTCATTCAGGGATAGATTTTTAAGACATACCATATATATATATATATATATATATATATATATATATATATATATATATATATAACAGTAGGAATAATTGGAGATTTGATGGTGGTGGTTTGTATTTGTTTTGGAAAACTAATGTGTCTTTCTGTGTACGTCAGGGTGGCCTGGAACCCTTGAGCCCTTGAGCGTCTTGCCTAATTAAGCCTCTCAAATGCTAGTACATTTGAGGCCACTATGCCTGTCTGCATGGTCGTCTTTATATTTGTTTTGACATTTATTGAGTATGGGTCATGTGCCAAGTGATCATATGTGAATCATTCTAATAATTGTGTGAAGTCGCTTTTGCTTTTTTTTCTAACTGTTTTTTCCTCCTACAGATGGAGAGGAAGAGACTCAATCAAAAGACAATAGAGACATACAGCCTGTCTTCCTTTCTCCTGTGCCACAGACTGTCTGCGCCTCCCCAAAATTCATATGTTGAAATCCTACCCTTCAATGCAGTGAAGAATGAAGACAAAGAATTTTGTTAATGGTTAGGTCATAAAAATAGAGTCCTCATTCGTGAGATTAGTGGTCCTATAAGTAAACTCTTAGCCCTTTCTTTCTACAACATGAAAACACAATGAAGACACAGTCTTCTATCGATTTCCCCCTTATCAGATACTGGTTATGTTGGCAGCTTAATCTTAGAGCCTCCAAATAGTCCAGCTCCCAAACTATAAAAAGTCAATATTCTTTGTTTATAAGACACTCATACTACAGTATGTTGTGGCAGTCCCAACATACCAAGTCATCCTGATAGCTGTCTATTGCTAATTTGCAGCTTCCTGTACTCACAACCTAATGTGGTTTCCTTTCTACACAGTCCAGAACCACAGACTTTAAAGAAAAACTAAAATCATAGGTAAAGGAAATGTTATCCAAAGAAAAGAACAAATGAATCAATAGCAGAGATTCATCAGAAATACACCCAGGATTCATCTCTAAACAGACATTGGTCTTTCTAAACCACTCACCAGAGGGTATCCTGCTTCCTCAACCACTGCTCTTTTCATGTGCTTGCTAGATAGAAGCTTTATGTCTCAGTATTACTCTCCTCATATTGAAAACAAAAAGACTACATCCATCATGCATTTAATGGCTTAAAAAGAAATAAATGTCACTCCCTATCACAATGTCTGGACTGTAGTACCTTCATAATGGAGACTCACCCCCTATCTAGCCCAATTCACAGGTCTTTGCCACCTACCTCACACCAAAACTAAGCTGCTATTGTATTATTCCTATAAAGAAGTATGATTGTGCTGGATCTTGAGTAAACCAAATAAATAGTGGCTGTTACCGTGGAAGAAATCCATTTCACTGCTGTTAACTTCTTGAAGACACTCCTTGCCATATTTAAGTCCACATCAATGAAATTCTTCTCTCCAGTATCTCTATAAACACAATAAATGTTAAAAACATATAAACAGATGAAAAAAGGACATTTTAAAACACTGTATGATATTATTTGTTTTTTTTATTTTACCGTGCACAAAATATTAACTTTATTTAAAGCTTGACTCTTTTCAAAATAATAGATTAGAGTGACACAGAAAGGTATAGATGTTTTCTTGTTAAAAATGATGCCAGGCAGTCGTGGTGCATGCCTTTAATCCCAGCACTCAGGATGCAGAGCCAGGCGGATCTCTGTGAGTTCAAGGCCAGCCTGGTCTACAAAGTGAGTTCCAGGAAAGGCGCAAAACTACAGAGAAACCCTGTCTCGAAAAACCAAAAAAAAAAAGAGAAAAATTAGATTTTCCTCTGAAGCAATATGTGAAAAAAAACTGAACAAGATCTCATTTATTTATTGATCCCACTCAGCAGTAACTATAATATGAACTCCTGGATTGTAAGTAATAAAGCAATTATCAGGCATGGCTGATCAGCTGTAGATATAAATAGCCCGAATAAAATACCGTTCCCTCCAATAAGAGCACAGAGGAAAGAATATGGAGGAGGTAGTTTACAAAATGAAAAAATCGTTGATGTTGCACTCTGGGTGCTGACAAAATGACACTCAACCTGATTCTGTAATTTTCATTTTAAATACCATACCCCCCACCGCCCCAGTATTTTAAATAAAGGTAATTCCCATTGACGTTTTACCTTTTCTTCAAAAAACTTGCAGTCAAACAAGCAGCAGATGAAAATATCATCTCAATTTCTCTGCAAAGATAATAATAACAAAGGCTAAGTCACAACCAGGCAGTGTCCAATATTCTGACACTGTGAAGGAACATTGTTATATACATGGTACTCAACCTGTGGGTCCTGACCTGTCTGGGATTGAAAAATCCTTTCACAAGGGTCACCTAAGACCATCAGAAATATCAGATATCTACATTATGATTCATAATTATCAAAATTACAGCTATGATGTAGCAAAGGAAATAATTTTATGGTGGGGGGATCACCATAACATGAGGAACTGTATTAAAGGTTGCAGCATTGGGAAGGTTGAGAAGCACTGCCATACACAAATCTACTGGGTAGTAGTTATAGCTAGCCTAGGATTCATGGGACCTGTTAGATATACCTATAGCCTCCTTTATTTTATGTCTGAATAAATAATAATTAATAATGAATAAAGATTCATTATTAATATCTAGATTATGAGTATACTACTTGTGGTTATTACTACTGAGTTTCAGCAAAACTCTTCATGATTGCTTTTCCAGGCATTTGAATAAAACCCATCACTCTGAAGACCTAAATTCTGAAATGCTAGTGAGGCAACTATGAGGATCTGAAAACAATACAACTTACTGTTAAGATTCATTCTTACATAGAAGGGTATGTGGGGTATATGTTCTCCCTGTAGCTCTTAAGCATATTAAATAAAAGATTAATTGCTATGAACATCAATGACTGGTCCAATCAAGAGGTAGTAAAAGAGAATCCCACTCAATATGTAAATTCTGTCACAACCAAGTCAAACCTTCTTTCTTACAACTAGGACAATGTGATCAGCATCTGAGAAACATGGGAGTGGCTGTAAGTCATCAAGCTGGGTCACCTTTTAGCTTCTCCACACTCTTTATTTCTTTTCACTGCTATCCATTTCTGTGCCAGTGACTGGTTGATTCGGTTAATTTCTGGCAGGATTTTCATGGAAACACTTGTGGACCTAGTATGCTTCAAGAAAGAAAATAAAGGCAAAAAAAAAAAAAATGACCAGAGAAATGCACACATATATTGACTAACAATCAATAAAGCACCTGGCACACACAAGTTCTGCCTTTTTTGGTGGGTTGAGCTTTGGCATGAGGTTGGCCTGAATATTTGACTTCCTGACTTGGGCCATTTCGCTTGGTCTGCATTTTAAAAAGTTTAATAACATGAGAAAAATCGAAAATAGAGACTGAAATGGGTGGTTATAAATCAAAATTCGTCTTACCGTTATTCACATGGCCACAAGATGGAAATAACACATGTTGAATGCATTTTCAATATGATACATATATAACATGCAATGAAATATTATTTAGCATTGGAAAAATTGATATGCTACTATAAGGTAGGTGTATCCTAAAATTTGCTAAGTGAAATAAATCAAATAAAAACAGAAGGCATTGTATGATTCCACTTATATAAAGGATGTCCATATACCAACTTACAGCAAGAAAGCAGAACGTATCTAGGACTGAGGAGGCAGGGAATGAGGAATTATTGTTTAATAGATATCAGGTATAGATGAATTTCTAAATGGTCTTAATAAATAAAAAACACAGATCCAGAAATTTGGGTTAGAGTCCGAGAGAAAGACCAGAGAAATAGGACAAACCACGAGCTAATCTCACCTCACCAACTCCGCAGCTTCCAAAGAGAGCGTCTTCCTGTATACTCACGTTTATATGCCTTTTCTGTTCTGTTCTCTCATTGGCTCTCTTAGCCCAGCTACCTCATTTCTTTTCCTGTCACTTTCTGTCTGTCTGTACAGACCTCTAGGCCTCTGTGGTTGGTACTGGGATTAAAGGTGTGTGTCACCACACTTGACTCTGTTCCCTAGTGTGGCCTTGAACACACAGAGATCCTGCCTGCTAAGTGATAGGATTAAGGGCTTGTGCTACTGCTGCCTGACTTCTTTGTTTACTTATAATGACTGGCCTTTTCCCTCTGATCTCCAGGCAAGCTTTAGTTACTAAAGCACAAATAAAATATCACCACAATCAGGTGTCTGTTTGAGGTGATTAAAGGTTTGAGAGGTAGTGTGCTGTGGGATGGTCTGTATGTCAAATGTGTTGCTGATTGGTCAATAAATAAATCACTGATTGGCCCGTGGCCAGGCAGGAAGTATAGGCGGGACAAGGAGGAGAATAAAGCTGGGAAGTGGAAGGCTGAGTCAGAGAGACACTGCCAGCCGCCATCAGGACAAGGAAGATGTAAAGTACCGGTAAGCCACAAGCCACGTGGCAAGGTATAGATTAATAGAAATGGATTAATTTAAGCTGTAAGAACAGTTAACAAGAAGCCTGCCACGGCCATACAGTTTGAAACCATATAAGTGTCTGTGTTTACTTGATCGGGTTTGAGCGGCTTGGGACTGGCGGGTGAGAGAGATTTGTCCTGACTGTGGGCCAGGCAGGAAAACTCTAGCAACAGTAGTGACAGTAGTTGATGGCATTATGAGTGCAATTAATGCCACAGAACACTGTAGGTAATGTGTTTTAAATGGTAACACATACTACATATACACATCTTATATGTAATGTGAGATAGGGCCTCACTATACAGCCCAGACTGGCATGAAACTTGAGGTCCTCCTACCTCAGCTTCCCAAATACTGGGTACTTGGTGTGTTATATATATATTTAAAACAACAAAAATTAAAGTGGCTGGACAGAGTGGCACATGCCTTTCTTCCCTGCACATGGGAGGCTGCTATAAGAGGATCCTAGTTACAGGTTAGACTAGATATACAGCAAGAGCTTGTCCTAAAGATGAAGAGAAGAGAGTGACAATAATGTTTTGCTGTAAAGAATACCTCCATCTCTACTGAACTTGTCATGAATGGCAAAATTCTATACCACTTTCTTTTCAAGAATCAAATAAAATCCTCTTGAAAAATACGTGTAACCACCATGACTCAAGTCCTCTACCCCTTACTGGTGATGGGGTCTGAGCCAGGACCTTATTCACACAAGCAGAGGTGCCACTGAGCCACACTTTTCACACCCTACTTGAGTTCCTTGATCTAAATCCTGGTGACTTTGTAGTTTATCAAAGTTGATGAACACAATCTATCTTTTACTCAATATCTCAGTTCCCAATCTTATCTCCACTCCTGTCTCTCCTCATTTTAGCTCTTCATGACTTGGAGAAGGTTTCTAAACTGAAATGATTGATACCTGGGATTATATAATTCTTTGTTTTGAAGGATCCTTATACCTAGTAAGATATTTAATCCTTACTATTCCCAGCCCCTAGCCACTAGATACCAGTCACTGTCAATGTACCAACCTAAAATGTTTGAAGACACCTCCAAATGATTGTTAGGATGCAAAATCGCACTTTACTGAAAAGCACCACTTTACTTCTCGGACATAAACTGGACTTTATCATTAGCAATTGCTCCATTTTAAGCATCAGTTTGAAAGTCTTTCTGACCATCACATACCATTTTCTTGATTCATTTCCTCTCGAGTGAGGTTCCCAGTGCAGCATTCTTTCATGTACTCAGATCTCAGACTCTGTGATCATCATCTTATTCTTCTTCCACTAGCTTAGCTCCTAGGCTTCACTACTCTAATCATTCCCACAACTCCTTTCTGCCTCCCTTATTGTACTGCAAAATTCCAGTTGTCATTACGTTCAAGTCTGGATTACTCCAAAGTCAATTCCACATGTCCAACATCACTGAAGATGACTTCACAGTATGCTGACCCACCACGTTCAGTCACATATTTCAAATGGACATTCCCAAAGACAGTTTGTCTGTCTGTCTGTCTCTGTCTCTCTCTCTCTCCCTCTTTCTCTTTCTCTCTTCCTCTCTAACTACTGCACATCTCCCTTTGCCTTTACTCACATGCCCCTGATTCTCTCACACTCACATGAGCTTTGGTCATCAAGCAATAACTAATCAGCAACTCACCCCCATCTGCAGTCACAATGGACTATATCACTGCTCAGACATCTCAATTCTGCACTTATCAAAGTTTTAGTCAACTTGACATAAAGCTTAGGGGATCTCAGTTGAATTGACTTTATCAGATTGGCCTATGTTTTTTTGTGTCTAGAGCATTTTCTTGATTAATAATCGATGTGGGAGGGCCCAGCCCATTGTGAGTGGTGCCATCCCCAATAGGCAACCCTGGGAGGTATAAGAAAGGTAGCAGAACAAGCCAGAACAAGCTAGTAAGCACTATTCTTCCATGGTCTCTACTTCAGTTCCTGTCTCCGAGTCCTGCCTTGAGTTCCTACCCTGACTTCCCTTCACGATGTCAACCCTTTTGTTTCCTGTTTGCTTTTGGTCACAGTGTTTTATCATGGTGACAGAGAAACAAACTCATACTGCACTGGACTCCATTTTCTCCCTCCTGCTCTGGGACATTCTTTGGCCACTCTTTCAGTGAATCGTGAGAAACCCTCCCGTGATCTTCTAATTTACTTTACTGTCAGAATGCCTCAGTTGTCACAAAACTTTCTCTCCTCCTCTTGTTCTGACCCCACCCCAGGCAGGTTTCTCGATTTCTGTTAAAACAACACAATCTTCCCTTCCCAAAGGAAAAATTACACTTGGTGCCCCTCTGACCGGACTTTTGTGCTGTTGCTTCTCTGGATAAGCCACCTCCTGGATCTCATATCATTCTTTTATGTCTTCTTTGTTCCTCCTCCATATTCCAAACTTTACCCCACAGCTGATTTTGTACTCCTTTTCCCTCTGTTTCAGGCATCGCCCCTGTCCCATCTTCCCTCTCTTCTTTTGGCCTAAGCCTTCCCCTCCCTGCCCCTATCCATCTCTTGCCATCCCCACTTTGGGATCAAATCCAGGGCTTTTGCATGTTAGGCAAGTATTTTCCCATGGAACCCCCACCCCCACCCCCCGAAGCCCTCTGTTCATTTTTTGAGACAAGGTCTTGTTAAATTGCCCACCATTCTAACATTCAAAACCATTCTAACAAAAGAGTGTATTTAGTAAGAAATCTGAAAACATGAAAAATATACCGTTTAAAACACTAGCCTGAAATTTAGGGAACGGTGGGAATAGCTTAGGGGAGAATGCTTGCCTAGCACATACAAGGCTCTGGGTTTGGTTCCCCAGTGCCAGAAAAAGAAATAATTCCTGAAATCTAGAGAAAAAAATAAGTTTAAAAAGAAGTAATACATACTGACACCTGGTGAGTTGCCACAAAGTTGGCATGTGCCCCAGCAAAAATGTCTTTGACTTGAACATCCATGAGGTCTAAAAAATGTAAAACAGACATGTTCAGAGTTTTACCTGGAAAAAAATTAATCTATACATAACTAAGTCAAATTTATTCATTTATTGGAAATTTACACTCTCCTAATTTTTGATTACAAATAGCCTAACAATGAATTTTGACCATAGAAAATGCTATTTATTCATTTATTCACTCAATAAAGCTTTTAGTTGTCTAGGCATTTGCATAATGAATTGGGGTTGGCATGCTCAGGTGTTTGTTTCAATATATCAAAGCATGCTGTTAACATAGCGAAGTAACCAACTTAATGTCTTCTTTTGTATTGGTTAAGTCTTTAGAAATGATTATCTATTACTCCATGGGGGGAAAAATGCAGCAGTTTAAAATAAAAGGGCTAAGAACCATAAGCATAGTTCAGTGGGATCCTGTGGAGGAAGGCTACATGGTATGTCTCCTTCAGTCCATCAGCCATGAGCTAGTGGGAGCACTCATACCTTCTGCAGAGAGCAGGCAGGTGATGTCAGAGTTCTCTGCTGGGACCTCCTGATGAGTTGGGTTGCTTGTGGGACTTGGTCCACATCCTAAAGATACCACCTGACCAGTGGTGTCGACGTATGCCATGGTGTGATAACTACAACATAAAATATGATACAATGATAATATGATATTCTGAAGAACCAGACTCTCATGATTTCAAGGAAAAACAAAACGACAGACTTATCTTCGCCATGCAGCCAGCTGTCTCATTACAGTGTTAGTTTGCAGCGAACTTGGTGACGTCACTAAACAGGTGTCATTAACTTATAGTAATATTCAAAATAGTACTAGCAATGGGGATTTATTATGGATCCTACCATGTGTCTTTTTTGTTTTTGTTTTGAAACCGACTCTTATGTAGACCAGGCTTGCAACTATCTCATAGGATAATCTTCACTTTCTGATCCTTCTGCCTTTAACCTCTCTAGTGCTGGACTTAGAAGCATAGTTCACCACCACCACACCTGGTACCACTACCACCACATCTAGTGTATGTGGTTGTAGGAATCTCCTCCAGGACCTGGTGAGTGCTAATGAAGAGATTAAACTCTCCCACTCTCACAAATGAATTTAGGTTTCAGTTCTCTGAGAGGGGCAAAACAAGTGTCTCTCACAACAAAGGGCCATTTATCCACAACATCTTTGCATTCAGAGACAGGGAAAGAGCACATACAAGACCTTAGTCAGCTCCAGTGTTTCAAGGACAAAACCTGCAGCCCCCTTCTGAGTCACATCGGACTTGCCCAAGCTTGGGCAAGTATGTCCAAAAATGGTAAGACTAAACTTCAGCCAATTAAAAGTATACTAATGTAACTGCTGCTTGCTTAACCAATTATGTTTGAGATGACCAACTGCTCCTGAAACTCCCCTAACTGCTTCACAGGGTCTGCATGCCTTTGTTCATGGTTGCCATTTTGTACAAGTGGCTGATCCTGCATATGCTGGCTGTTTCTGCAGAATAAACATTCTTTGCTTTTGCATACTATTTGAGTCTGGGGTCTTCCTTCAGTGTTTTCTCAGACCCTTACTCTACTGGCAAGCACTCTACCAGCTGAGCTACATATCGTGTATTTCATGCATTTATTCTTAATTTTTGAAACTTAGCATACAGAATAGTAGGCTGCATCACGATGCTCCCAATCGTTTTCTTTTGTTGATCCTCTTCGCCGTGTTTGCTCACAGCTCTCTGTGTCCCTCCTCCCTTACCTGTCCACTCCCGGTGCACCCTTTCTGCCTTCATGTCACATGGACTCCTTTGTCCTCCTTTCTCAACACGTCTTTCCTCCCCTTTTTGGTTCCCTTTATAATTTCATGACCCATCACGCCTTCACCCACATGCATACACACAGACAAACAGTAAAAGCTAAGATATGCATGAGAGAGAACATTGTCTTTCTGAGTCTGAGTCACTTCTCTCAATATGGTAATTTCCAGATCTTTTCACTTTCCTGAAAATTTCATACTCCATTTTTCTGGATAGCGAAGAAAATCCCACTGTACATGTTTATCACATTTTCATTATCCATCATCTATCAAGAGACATCTTGGCTGACATTCCTTGCTTTTGTGAATAGTGTGCAAGTATTTGTGGTAAGATATGGGGTCCTTTGGGTGTGTACCCAAGAGTGCTAGAGCTTGGTCAAATGGTAATTCTACTTTGAAGTGTTTGAGAAATCTCTGGACTAGTTTCTATGGTGACGGGCCCAGTTTACACTCCCACCAGCGCTGGATTTTTTCCCACCCTCGCCGAGACTCCTGGTGCTTTTTGCCTTGGTGACAGCCATTCTGACACCGGTGAGGTGGAGTCTCAAAGGCTACAGAAGTTAAACATGGCTAAAAATGTTTACAGGTCATTTCTGTGGCCTCTTGTGAGAGCTATGCACTCATTTCATGGCCCGTTTATTAGCAGTTTGGGTTGGTTTCCATGTGCTAGATGGTAGCCCTCTGTCTGGAGGAGCTGGCAAGGATTTTCTCCCTTTCTGTAGGCTGGCTGTTCACTCTGCCGGCAGATCCCCTTGCTTTGCATAAGCTTTCAAATGCCACGCAAGTCAAGTTGTTAATTCCTGGAGCTACTTCTGTTCTCTTGGAGTCCCGCTCCTCAGAAAGTTCTACCATGCCTGTGTCTTGAAGGATTTTCCTCTTGCCCTCCTCTAGCACTTTCAGGGGCTCGGGTTTTAAATTAAGGTCTGTAATCCATTAGAGTTGACTTTTTTTTCTTTTCTGTGTATCTGTATATGTATGGGGTCCATGCATGTAGGTATGCATGCCCACATGAGTGTGGGCAAATGTACGGGTTGTCTGTGGGGGGCCCAGGCTGATGTCAGGAACCTTCCTCCATCACTTTATTCCTTATTCATTAAGGTGGGGGGTCTATTCATGAACCCAGCCAAAGACTGCTGATATGACTAGTCTCTTAGGGATGCCTTGTCTTCACCTTCCAAGGCTGGAATTACAGGTGGACTGCCATAGCCCCGCCCCCGGCGTTTACACAGATCCTCAGGATACGATCTCTGAGCTACCTTCCAGGCTCACTTGGAATTAATTTTTGTGTAGGGTGAGAGATTGGAATCTAACTTCATTTTCATTCAGGTGGATATCCTGAATAAATATTTTACTAGCACCATTTGTTTTCCCAATCAAGTACTAGGTAGTTGTATCTGTGTAAATTTATTTCTGAGTCCCATATTCTATTCCGTGTGTCCTAAATTCAAGCATTTTACTTTTTACTGTATTGGGTTAGATATACAAGTACTCAAAATCCCCTCATAATGAGGTTATATAAAACTCTGAATATATGCAAAGAGTCATCACGTTCTGCATGCACGAGATTAATTTCTCTAATCTCTGTAAGCTGGCACACACTACCACCTTTGCTACTTAACTCTCTCCTACCCTCTACTCATAGTAAGGTGGTCTGTAGATACTAAACTTCTAATAGTTATTTGTTACATAATGATTAATAGAATTGAAAAATTTTAAATAAAATGTATTTGAAAGAAGTAAATTTTCAAGAAACAATGCTTTATTAAAAGTGTAGCCACATGTTTTTGGGTTTCTAAGTAATAAACTTCATACTTTCTATTCAAACTTTTAAAAAAGGCTCAATACCTCCCACATTCTATCTTAGAAACGCGGCCACCAATTCCTTCCACGAGTTGTGGGCCTCTTCTCTCACTCCTGGGGCTGTGCTGTGGCTGCCCAGAGTTATTGCCTCCAAATGTAAACACTTGCCCATCCTGTTTAAAAATAAGGAGTCAGATTAATTTCATGTTTCGAAATATAACTATCACAAGATAAAAGCAATATGTGAAATTGGTTTGTATATTTTATAAATTGATTTATACATTTCCATAATTTGTCCCAAAATTATTTACATTTATTTATTTACGAATTTCCAAAAATGTATCCAAAATCATTTTGGTATTCCAAAAATTTATAAATTTATTTACAGGATTTTCTTTAAAATTATGCACTTTGAAGATGTTAAAAATATATTACACACTTAAAATTGCTAAGAGAGGGACTAGAGAGATGGCTCAGCACTTAAGAGCATGGACTGCTTTGCAGAGGACCAGAGTTTGACTCCTACTGCCCATGGCAGACAGCTCACCACCACCTGGACCTCTAGCTCCAGGGAATCTAAAAATCTAAATCCTCTCGCACTTGTACTCATGTACACGCACACACACACACACACACACACACACACACACACACACTTTTAGCTTTCTCTTGTCTACTAAGATTAATACAATTCAAACAATTGAGGTTTCCTAATTTAAGTCATGGTTTCTCAAACAAGTAATAAAAATAATAAAATAATTTGGTGAACTAGGAATGTAGCTAAGTGGTAGAACACTTCTGTAGCATTCCTAAGGTCCTTTTTATCTATTGAAGATAATAGTAGTTAATAATAATAATAAAATTTAAAAATCATTTGGTGTATAAACTCTTTTTCTGGCACCAAAAATCAACTCCAGCAACAAGGCAAGCATTCTACCGTTGATACTTTACCTGGTTCTGCAGAGTGAAGTTTTTAAACAAGCATTTAAATTACAGAAATCATTTTCAAGTCTGTTCCTTATGCTGATGAGAAGAATCTGGCTCACTGGAATACAATGAACAGCCAGGAGAAGAGGCAGAGGGAAAGTCTAACAAAACTGGCTTGTCATTGTATCAAGCAAGGAATGTAACCAAGAGTGTTCTTGTGTGTGGAGTGGATTATCGAAAATGATAAAACAAATTTTCTGTAGACCTACATTGACAGTGAATAATGACTGAAAAGATTAGCTGCTACATTACCTTCTACTACAGTACCTTGAAATATTTCCTGATTTATACTTAGTTCAGTTTTCCACTTTAGATATTTGAACATTAAATAGTATGTTTTGATACTGAAATTCATCTTATGTCCTATTTGGACATTTGTGTTTTTAAATTTATAAATTTAAAATCCTAATTTCTGGAAGCTGGAGAGATGGCTCAGTAGTTAAGAACACTTATTGTTCCCAGTACCCACAAAGAGCCTAACAACTATATGTAATGACAGCTCCAGGGCATCTGCCCCCTCTTCTGGCCTCCATGAACACTGTGTGTGTGTGGTGCTCAGCCATACATGCAGACAAAACATTCGAATCCACAAAATAAATCTTTAAAACAAAACATAGTTGTGGTGATATTGTGTTCCCAAAAATATTGTGCACCCTAATAAACTTATCTGGGGTCAGAGAACAGAACAGCCACTAGACATAGAGGCCAGAAAATGGTGGCACACATGCCTTTAATCCTAGCATTTCAGAGGCAGAGATCCCCCTGGATCTCTGTGAGTTCAAGGCCACACTGGAAACAGCCAGGCATGGTAACAAGAGCCTTTAATCCCAGGAAGTGATGGCAGGAGCAGAAAGGTATATAAGGCGTGAGGACCCAGAACTAATGCTCGTTAAGCTTTTAGGCTTTTGAGCAGCACAGTTTAGCTGAGAGGCATCCAGTCTGAGGAAACAGGATCAGCTGAGGAATTGGCAAGGTGAGGTGGCTATGGATTGTTCTGCTTCTCTGATCTTCCAGCATTCATCCCAATACCCAGCTCCAGGTTTATTTTTATTAATAAGAACTTTTAAGATTCGTGCTACACATAATTTCTAATATAGTGCTATTAGGAGGTGGAAGAGGGCCTTTGGTAGATGATTCAGTCATGCAGGTAAATCCTTCATTAATGAATTTATACTCTTTAAAAAAGAAGATTCAAGAGAGAACACCTTGACCTCTCCCACTGCATGAGAACACAGAAACTGTCATCTAGGAATCAGAAGGTCACTATCATTATGTGTAAGTCTGCTGGCACCTTGATCTTGGACACCCCAGCTTCTAGAGCTGTGAGAAGTATGCCTGTAAGCTCTCCAATTGATAGGGTTTTGTGACAGCAACCTGAATACACTAAGATCAAACAATACACAGCACACATATCTTTTTCATACTTCTCTGATGTCTAGAAAGGAGAAGCACATTCTGGATTACCTGGGTAAGCACTGCAGTGTGCTCATAACCACAACTAATATAAATCACACCCAGATTCTTCAGGGCACCAATTGAATGAGGCTTGTGGATCTGCACTGCTGAAAAAAAGAAGAGAAGAAGATTCAGAGGCAGGTTTGTTCGTTCGAGACCAGCATGCGCTGCCAAGTGAGACTGGTGTGGTGATATTTTATTTGTGCTGAAATCTGGTGATATTTTATCTGTGCTTTAATAAAGCTTGCCTGGAGATCAAAGGGAAAAGGGCAGCTACTTTCAGTAAACAAGAAGTCAGGCAGCACATACCCTTAATCCTATCATTTAGCAGGCAGGGTCTCTGTGTATTCGAGGCCATATTAGGTGTGGCCATGTGTGTGGTGACACACGCCTTTAATCCCAGTTCCAACCATAGAGACCTGGAGGTCTGTACAGACAGACAGTGACAAGGAAGTAAGGTATCTGGGCTAAGATAGCCAAAGAGAGGGCAGAACAGCAAGGCAATAAAGGTGTGGGTAAGGCAGGAAGTACCTCCATTTGGAAGCTGCAGAGTTGGTGAGGTAAGGTTGGCTGGTGGCTTCCCTGATCTCTCTAAGGCTTTCACCCCTATATTTGGCTCTGTGTTTTTTTTTATTTAATAAGACCATTTAGAAATTTGTCTACACTCTGGAGTCGGGGGGGGGGGGGGCGGTCATGGGGGTATCTCAGAATTTTCTTTATATTTTTATAATCTCTACATTTCTGTCTTATAACTCAACATAATTTTAAAAGTGAACATTCAGAAGTATTAGGAAGAAAAAATTATGATTTGAGGGGGAAAATCTGCACTTTAATACTTATTTCTGGAAGCCCTTAGTCTTCTAGAACATATAAAGCAATTAACCTAGAGTATACCAAGCTCCCAATATGTTATAATTTGTATTCATTTCTGATGCATAGTAGGTGCCTGAACAGATGTGTTAGTGACACAGAGAATGAGAGAACTTACCTTAAAAGTGTTAGATGGGATGTAAGTGCTCTCCAAAGTACTGGCACATAGTTGGTGCTGATATATATTAGCCAAATGCAAAGAGATGATCAGAGGACAATGGAGTTCTTGGAGAAGACTTCTTAATGACTTGTATTTTAGAGGGACAGTTTGGGGAGACTTGTTTTTTCTTAGCACAGGAACTAGTCATTTCCCCTAATGTGATCAGCGATTTCCACATCCATAACAAGGTCTGAAGCCCGACTGTCACTCACAGACATTCTGATCTAGTGGGCCTGGAGCTCAACCTGGGCATCAAGAGCTTTAAAGGTAGACCAATGGTTTCCATCCCAAGCCCAGAGCTTTGTAAATATGATAGGTTGTTTGGCAAAGGGACAATAAGGAAGCCAGTAGAATTAAAAATGCTAATCAATTCACCTTATAGTAGGGAGATTAGCCTGGATGATCCAGGTGGGGCCCAATGTCATTCCTTTTACTGAGGAAACTCAAGGCAAAAGAGCCAGTGTCACAATAACATAATTTAAGAAAGACTCAATCTGCCACCACAGGCTTTGAAGACGCAGGGAATATCCTAAATTCATGCTAGAGCCCTACAGAAGCTGGAAAAGACAAGAAAGTGGATTCTCACCCAGAACCTTCAGAAAGCGAGGCAACCCTGCTGGCTGAGACCGAGTAACAGATTGCTGACTCTGGATACAAAGCACATTGCTTTAAGTCGCTAAAAGTTTTGTGATACTATTCCAGAAGCAATAGGAAACTGATAGAGCTTTCCAGGTAATGCTAACGAGACAGTTTGGAACCCATGGTGACGCGCCCTATGGCAGGCTAGTCTTCCAGCTGCAATGGAATATCAGTTTGTTGGAAGGACAAAACTAGTTTCTTACCTTCCATTTTTTCCCCACTGAGGGCCAGCTGCCCAACACTGTTGCTTCCCCAGCCAAATGAAGTCCCCGTGAGAGAGAGAGCAAAGCTGTGGTTGCCACCTGCAGCCACCTGAGCCAGTGGGATTCCCTCCAGGTACTTCACCTTCTGTGGGCTGGTTTGGGACTGGAAATTCTTCCCCAGGCCCAGCTGACCTTGACTGTTTTTTCCCCATGAAAACACTTGGCCATCTATGAAACAAAGAACATTTAAGAATTGTACATCTACGAGATTACCAAAATAGTAAAAACTAACACACTCAATTCCACACTTTTTTTTATTGAGGTACACTTGACAAAAGAAATATATATATTTGAAATGTTGAGGTAATATTCTAATATACATATACACTCTAAAACAAATGCCAGAATTAACTGATTAATTTGCCTCACACAGGGATTTTGCTGCTGTTGTTTTCAAATTCTGCTTGCAGGGCTGGGCTGTATAGTTCTAGAGTGTGCTCAGACTAAGCAGGGTCTCGGGTTCAATGGCCGGTTCCAAGAAAATAAGCATACAAGAGGGTGGAACAAAACAAAACCCTGTATTCTTAGTAAATGCCAAGTATATAAAGCATTATTGTTAATGATAGGACATTACAGGACAACAGGTTTCCCGACCTTGTCCATCTGACGCATGAGTTTGTGGCCTCTGAACACTCCTTTTCCCTTACCTATACACTCCTGGCAACCTCCACTCTGCTCTGTTTCTATGAGTCCAGTTTTCTGTGATTTTACAGGAAAATGAGGTAGGTAGTATTTGAATGTTTATGTCTGGCTTAGGTTGCTACTATAATAGCCTACAAGTTTACCCATGGTGTTGCAAATACACGATTTTCTCCTACTCTCTGTATTGTACTTAGTTCTACAAACCTTCAAAAGTAAAACAAAGATAAAGAAGGAAATGGGACTAAATTTTTCTGGTGAAAGGCAAGGCATGTATGTCGTCAAATTCATATTCAGGAGCCCCTTCAAAACAGTGTCCATCCTTTTCCCTTGCAAAGGCAACTGTGTTCTTACAGCTTTTCTGCCACCAAATACTTGGCGTTGTCCTTGACTTGTGTTTTCTATGTGATTCAAACTAGAAAATCCTAAGCCCTCACCTGTGGCTTACAAATCTACGAAAAATACAACCTTTTCTCATCTCTCAATTGTTACCATTTTAGCCAAGTCCCCATGGGAAATTATAGTAGCCTCAAACTGGTGTCCCACATTCCCCCCTTGCTCCCAACAGTCTTTTCTGCCAGAGATGGCCAAAGTGAACTTTTAAACATTTAAGTCCAATTCCCAATTCAGGCCACCTTGCAGTTGCCTGCCAGGGATCCTGGCACCCCATCCCACCCCACTCCCAGCCACTCTTCTCTTTAGGACTCACCAGATAACAGGCTCCTTTCCACCCAGGACCTTCTAACCCATCCATGTGATGAGGAGACACAGGTAACCCTCCTGTATGCTTTGGCATGACCCTTCCTCACTCTGGTCACCCCATGTAGACTGGGGTGGATCCATTCTCCACAGCAAGCCCAGTACACACATCCTATACTAGAGCCCAGCCTCACAGCCTGCTGTGTCCACATCAGAAACACAACCAACAAAACAAGTCTGCCTACCCCTGTCTTCTTGCAAAAACAATGTGAAAGATCAAGACAGCACACACACCCCCAAACCCACCAGTCCTATAGAAATGCTCTTCAGTGAGAAGTACCATATGGGTGCTGAGGTACAGAACCTAAAAAAGAACAGTGTAAACTTCATCGAAGAATTCAAGGAGTTAAAAAAAAAAGACACAGTTTGGTGAACTTGGAGAATAAACGCCTGTTCGATGTTCAGGAAAAAGCAGACAAGAGAGAAATGACAAAGACAATACAGAATTTGAGATCCAAATTCAATAAAAACAGAGAAATAGTGAAGAGAACTCAAGCTGAATGGAGATAGAAATTAAAAAAAAACCAAACACACCTCAATAACCCATTTAGAAAACTCAGAGGAAAGGCTGACAAGGAGAATTGATCAAGTAAAAGATGGAATATCAAGACTAAAAGTAGAAGAATTAGACAACACAAGCAAAGAATGTGAAAACAATTTTAAAACACAGGAAAGGAATGGGCATGGATTGTGAGAAAGCACGAAAAGACCAAATCTTGGAACTAAGGCACAGGTAAAGGAGACAGATCCCAGGTGAAGGTCACAGGCCAGAACTTCAGCATGGTCACAGAAGGAAACAGCCCCGAACTAAGGAAAGACCTACCCGGAAACACAAGAAACACGCAGAATATCACATAGATGAGACCAGGAAAGAAATTCCTCATAGTATACAATAGTTAAAACATTAAAATATACAGAACCAAGAAAGTGTATTGAAATTTGCAAGACAGAAAAACACATAAAGGAAAACCCATCATAATAATGGCCAATTTCTCAATGGAAACTCCGAAAGCCAGAAGAACCTGGAGCAAGTTCTAAAGGACCACAAATGACAAACTGTATGTACCCAGTGAAACTATTAGCCACATATGAAGACGAAAGAAATACTTTCTGTGGTACAAACATGCTAAAAGAATTCATATGTAAAAATTAGACCCACAAAGAATACTGGGAGAAATACTTCAGACTGAAGACAGGAATAAGCACAGCTAAGAGACTGTAGAAAGAAAAAAAATGAAGGTATAATTACTAAAACACAAACTAAGACTAAGAACACAGACAGCCAAAAAGGAGAACAAGACCACAATCAACACACACCTTTATAGTATAAATTTCAGTATTAATGGACTTGATTGTCCAATTAAAAGACAGAGGCTGGATTTAAAAAACAAAAATCTGTATTTCTGTTAGCTACAAGAAAATAATCTTAGCTTTAAGGAAAAGAACCACTCAAAAGTGAGAAGATAGAAAAAAATATTCCCAAAAAACGGGACCAGGAAGCAAGCAAGCATTGCTATCTTAATATCTGACAAAACAGGCTTCAAACTGGAACTAATCAAAGAGATGGTCAAGACTCAAAGCAAATTAGAATTCTTCTATTCATTCTAATCAAGGGAAAAGTTAACCAATAAAACATTAGAATCCTAAACATACAGGGACCAAACTCTAGTGCACACACTTCATAGCAACTATAGGATCACAATTACAGACGTAGATTAACACCAACCCAGTAATAGCAGATGATGTTAACACCCTACTTTCTCTAAGTATAGAGAGGTATAGAGGCTATATGGAGAAAAAAAATACACAAAGAAACACCAGAATTTCATGACATCATACTTCAAATGAACCTAACAAATATCTTCAGAATATTCATCCCAACACAAAAGAATATACATTCCACCCAGTAGCCCATGGAAACTCCTATAAGACAGATCATGTACTGGGACACAAAAAATTAGTTTGAAAAGTGTCATGACAGAACTTAACACTTAGTATGCTCATTAAGAGAAAGAATGAGCGAGGATGGAGGCTAATGTGTGTAATGCCCCACTCTATGCTGTAAACAGCCCTCAAGACACACTATGTACATTATCTAATTGAATTTTCTTTTCTTTTCTTTTTTTGTTTTTCGAGACAGGGTTTCTCTGTGTATTTTTGCACCTTTCCTGGAACTCGCTTTGGAGACCAGGCTGGCCTCAAACTCACAGAGATCTGCCTGGCTCTGCCTCCCGAGTGCTGGGATTAAAGGCGTGCGCCACCACCGCCCAACTCATTGAATTTTCTTACACAGCTTGTAAGTCAAGTATCAATATTCCTACAGATGAGAAAGAGTTGAGGCTCAGCAGTTAAAGAAGCAGTCGCAATGATTAGACATCGCCTAAAGAATGTGAAAATACTATATGTCACTTCAAGGGAATCAGCATACGCTAACTGAAAATATATCACTGTCACCGTGGTGACAGAATTATTTTTAAGCAAGGCAACTGAGAATCAGCAGGTGTGAGAAGAACCCCCTCCCTCCCTTCCTCTCCCTTGTACAAGACAAGATACAGTATTTTCTGTGAAAAATTACAGGGAGAAGAGAGCAACTTTCAGCCCTGAATTAAAGAGTTGGCTTTGAGAAAAATTTGCACAAATAAATCTTATTAAAACCCCCTTTATCTTCAGTTATTTTCCTCAGGCAAATTTTAACCAGTTCCCTGCCACTTACCATCCACTGAAGCCCAAATCTCTTTCCTTTGTGAAAGTGTTATACAAGTCCCTGGTTCTGAGTATTTCTTTTAGCTTCCTTTCTTTTCTGTGAATTCTCCCACACCAAAATAATAGTAATAACTGGGTGCCTTTTCCTCTGTTAGTCATCTGTTCATTTAATTTGAAGCCACCAGACACCGCACAAAGCAGATTTTCCCCTCAATATACTCCATCAAGAAATCTGAGCTGAGGAAGGTGAAGGATGAGAAAGATCAGTAAGAAAACATACGGTTCTGAATCGACATCTCAACTTTTCTTTTATCTAAAGTTTTAGTTTGCTGATGTGGACAACACATTCAGCATAAAGGCAGTGCTGAAGTTGGCTGTTACTGTGAAAAGGAGTTCCCTTACTGTGGTGAGATGCCAGCTATTTTGAAAAAGAACAAAGACATTTGAAAAAAAAAAAAAAGAACACCATATCTGATGAAACCTACGTTAAAAAGTTCTAAATGCAGCTGGGTGTGGTGGTGCAAGCCTTTAATCCCAGAACATGGCAGGAGGCATAGGCAGGAGGATCTTTGTGAGTTCAAGGTCAGCATGGTCTATAGAGCAAGTTCCAGGACAGCCAGAGCTACACAGAGAATCCCGGTCTTGAAAACAAACAAACAGACAAACAAAGAAACAAAAATAGTCATAAATGCATTAAAATGAAACCTGGTGGATTAAAAATCCGTGGTTATCATTTATATTTAAAAATATTTCCTAGTGGCATTCAGAAGTCTCCAAGGTATTCTTACCTTCAGATAATGCCAAGGAGTGGTAGTGTCCACAGGAAACTTGGATTATTTTTATGGCAGCCAGAGTTTTTATTTTCCTATAATTAAAAAAAAAACCCACAAAGGCCTGTTAAACCTTGTTTATGATGAATTATCAAAGAAATTACAGACATTTGAAAGTATTCTAGATAATACATCAGAGCTCAAGGAAAAACTTAATTTTCTTATGCTTCTGCAATGCCATTCTCTCAAAGTGTCAAACTGTTTTTTCCTTCTTTCTTATTATGATTTTAGCTACTTAGAGAAATGGTCTCACTCCCAGCCTCCAGCAGCTCCAGACCATCTCTGTTCTTTTGTGAAGACGGAGTAGCATTGGGTTCTCGCACTTACTCTGCACCTCCCATATCTCTTCATCAGGCCATACAGAATCTTCTGTCCCACACTGACCCTGCTAATGCCACTCTCATGGCTGTAGTTTCCCTGGACAGTGTAGGGGACATCAGCAATCTCACACATCCAACCATGTGCGTCACTAAGTGACAAGGCCTCTGACCCCCTAAGGAGGACCAGCTGTGCACTCTTTCCTAATCGAAGCATCAGTTGTTTTGTTTTGGGGTGTGTGTGTGTGTGTGTGTGTGTGTGTGTGTGTGTGTGTGTGTGTGTGTGTATTTGTTTGGGGGATTTAGGACCTTTAAGGGGAGGAGGGTAAGAAAGGGTCTCACATAGCTCTAGCTGGTCTCTGACTCCCTATGCAACTGAGGATGACCTTGAACTCCTGTCTCTATCTCAGTAAAAGCCTATGTAGTTTAGAGCTTCAGTGGAAGAGAACAGCTTGTCCCATTAGGCTTTCTCATCACAATTTCATTCATTGAATATTTGGGAAATACATAGAGTGTGGTTAATGTGAGGGGTACTGCTTTCGTCAGATACAAGATAATAAAGTGAGGTTTCTTTCTGAATCCTTGGTATCTCAATGGTTTATACTTAAAATAGTTGTTTTTGGTTTTTATTTATTGTAGGAGTCCAAGTGTATCTGCATATGTATATTACAATAAATAAAATTAGGACTCAAGAATCATATATCATTTCATTCTTCCTTTCTCCTTCAAGGGCTCTAATTAATCAACTGGTTCTACAAATGATTTCCTGACCACTTCTCTCACCACGTTTTAACCCTTGAGGCTAGGGTTACCTTCGTCATAGTCATCTTTGTGTCCTGGTATTTGAGTACCTAGCACTCAAAATCATTGGAAAAGGGAGTGAATTAAAATACTCACGTAGGCGTTAAATTTATTTTCTTAAATTCTCCGATCCCCAGCTGCCCTTCAGAACCTGCTCCCCATGCAAAGACCCTTCCTTTGTGGCAGATAGCCATGGAGTGCTCCTTCCCACAGCTCACGAGGTCAACGTGCAGAGAATCCAATGCCTGAATTGGTTCTTTGGAAACAAAAACAAACAGAAAACCCTCATAAGATTATAAGCTTCTAAGAGTTTAAGACAGCAATTGCCTTCAAAAAAGAAGAGTTTACCCAGAGTCTTTGTCTCCTTCAACATCTATTAAACCAAAGTCTAAAGTCCTTACAAACATCGGGAGGAAGCAATCCAATACGTTCACACCACATGTGTGGAAACCCAGCTGTGTTATACTGACCACCTGGACACACCTTGGCTGGTAAGGCTTGGTCCTTTGAGTTCCTAAGTAAGCAAACTGAAACTCAGCTGAAAAGGATAGTCACAGCCCAGGGAAACGAAACTGAAGCGTGCCCTGCTAACCCCTACACAGACAACAGAAGCTGCCCACTAACTTTTACCAGGCTCTGTGCGCTTTAATCAGGAGCATTATTATGTCTTTCTCCCTTAAGCTCTGTACAAATTTCTGGCTGGAATCTGCTCACACCCCTCACTGTAGCCCGAGCCCTTACACTCCAGTGCTGGTCTCTTCATGAATGACAAAATGCTCCGATTAATGCTTTAGGTTATTGATGTACACAGTTTATCTTTTTCTTTCTTCCTGCTTCTTTTGTGCTCTGTTCTGTTTTTGCAATACTAGGCTTTGACCCCAGGGTCTCATTCATGTCTGGCAAGCGCTCTATCACTATTTCTTGATGGTTCCACACAATTTATTACCCAGCAAAGTCCCAAGCACCTTTCTTTTGATAAATAGAATACACAAGTTCCTGAATCTAAGCACCTCTTTGAGTTTCATTTACTTTTTATGAATTCCTATGCACACAAATTACTCTCTAGGTAAAAGATTACTAGGATTGCATGCTGTTTTATTGCCTGTTAATTTCTTTTTCCTGTTAAATTTGTAGTTTCCGGGAACCGCATCTAAAAGGACAGAGGACTAGTTTTCATTTTCCACCCAGTTCTTCAAATTACTTTAAACACATAATCAAACAAGGTCAAGGCCTGGCAATATAGTATAGCCCAATGGTAGAGTCGTTGCCTAGCATGTAAAATGACAAAAACCAAACATAAAGACAAACTAGAGTTTTAGTTAGATCCATATGTACAAGAATATGAATCATTATCATATATAAAAACCCCTAATAGATTAAGATGTTTTGGTAAAAGCACAACTTATTTAAATACAAACTCAATACTTTACAATGACATGATTCTATAAGGATCAAATACATACACAGAAAATAAGACAGGCAGGAACTCTGCCCTGCTATTAGAGCTGCCTCTTGGTGTGATTACAGGTGGCCTCTTTTGAACAGTATTGTATTATTTTTATTTATTTGTATGTGTGTGTGCGTCACTGTGTGCATATGGGTGTGTGCTGGTGCCCACGGAGGCATCAGAGCCCTTGGAACTGGAATTACAAGGTGATTGTAAACTGCCACAAAGGTGCTAGGAACCCAACTCTTCACCATTGAACCATCTCTCCAGGCCCCACAGGTGGTTTCTTTTCTAGGTCCTTATAACAGCCTTAATGCTCAAAGGCACTTTGTTTAAAAGTATACTTTTATACTTTTGTTTAAAATTAGGAGAAAAGATGCCCCAGGGGATTGCTAAACTAGTTAGAGGTGCGCAACCCACATGGTTTGGAAGACAGACCTCCCCCGCAAAGTCTGGAAAGTCAAGGGGGAGAGAACTTATTTCTGTCTAGAGGAACGCAGTTCTGATTAACTCTCAGTTTCTCAAGGAAGAGGAATTGGAAACCGAAACGAAAAGCAAACAGACTCTAGAGCTCTAGGAAACGAAACCACTGACTTGAGCATCTCAAAGCAGAGTAACCAGCTTTGAGGTATCCCTGGTCCAACGACTGAGGCGCGCACATCCCGTCCCCAGGCACCCGCTACTGGGCTGGGTACTCACCTGGCCGTTCAGTATTCTGCTCTCTCTTCTGGCCCAGCTGGCCCAAGCTGTTGTCCCCACAGGAGTACACCCGGTGGTTGCTGAACAGTAGCAGGGAGTGGCGCTCTCCACTGGATGCCTGCAAGAGCTCACCGCCATCTCCCGCCTCCAGGCGCTGAGGCTGCGGGGCGTCGGCAGCCCAGTAGAAGTACATCTCTGCACAGCCCAGCCACCCGCGACTCTGCCGTGTCACCTGGGCCAAATGGGCTCCCTAAAGCGTGTGACCCAGCTCCCTAACTCCTCCCAGGAACGCTGCCCTGTCTCTGACGTCACGATGTTTTCTTTCGTGTGAGTGTCCTGTCTGGTGCCACTAACAGCTTTCCCCACCGGGCTTCCCCCTGCCGGTCATCTTTTTTTTTTTTTTTTTTTTAAATTAAGAAAAATTTTCCATTCATTTTAGACACCAATCAAAGATCTCCCTCTTCCCTCCTCCCCCACTCCCCCTTCCAATCCCCCCTCCACTCCTCCCCACAAGAAGGCAAGTCCTCCCATGGGGAGGCACTTCCAGTAGAGGGTCCAAGCCCCTCCCCCTGCTTCAAGACTGTGCAAGGTGTCCCATCCTAGGTAGAGGGCTCCACAAAGCCCGCTCATGCACCAGGGATGGATTCTGATCCTACCGCCAGGGGGCCCTCTAAGCAGACCAGGCTACACAATTGTCTCACCATGCAGAGGGCCTAGTCTAGTCCCCTGCAGGCTCCACAGCCGTTGATTCAACTTTCATGAGTTCCCACTAGTTTGGTTTGGTCGTCTCTGCAGGTTTCCCCGTCATCTTAAAACATGGCTGGTTGAGTCTCAAGGGCTTGAGTAGCAGAGAAGACAGGGAAGAAGAAAGTATCTCCACCGTAACTAAGCCACTTGTGAGTCCTGCTACTCTGGGCAAATTGCTAGGTTTGTGACATGTTTATTAAGTGACAATAAATTCACAAGGCATAGCAATTTCAGTGGCAGTCAATTCTCGGAGATTCTGCTTTCCTCGTCAACCCTGACTGAGGTTCTTTCATTCCAGTCTTGATTATTAATTTTCAGATCACACACTAAACATCACAAGGTAAATCTATCTGTCTATATGTATAATATGTAGATCATGGAGTGTGTACAAGAGGCTAAAGGGGTAAGAGGCCTGGAAAGTCAGAGCTGGAAAACCTGTTGGGATGCAATAATGAACCCCAATTAAGCTGCAAGGAAGAAGCTGTTGTCCAACTGAGTCCAACTTCAGAGGCAAAACTGAGTCCAATTGCAGAGGCTGAGGGCAGGGTCCAGCTGCAGAGAAATGAAAATTGGACATTCAAATTTCATATCAAAATTGGACAAGCTAAGTCAATCGAAGAATAAAAGAGCCCCAAGAGTAGACACCAGAATCAGAGAAGCCCTCACTCACACATTCAGGAGTCCCATAAAAATACTAAACTGCAAACTAAAGTACTTATGCAGAGGACCTGGTGCAGACCATGCAGACTCTGTTCTTGCTGCTTCACTCTCTGTGAGTTCAGATGGGTTTTGTTCAGCTGATTTAGAGGGCCTTGTTCTCCTGGTGTCCTCCATCCCCTCTGCCTCCCCCACTCCTTCTGTCTTCTCATCTTCGGGGTTCAATTTGCTGAGCTCTGAAGGGAGGAATTTAATGGAAATGCCTCCTCTAGAGCTGTGTGTTCCAAGGTGACTCTCTCTCTCTCTCTCTGTGTCTGTCTGCATAATGCCTGGCTGTGGGTCTCTGTATTTGTTCCCATCTGCTGCAGGATGAAGCCTCTCTGATGATGGCTGAATAAGGCACTGATCTCTGAGTACAGCAGAATATCATTAAGAGTCATTTTATTGTTACCTTTTTACTTTTGGCTTTTGTTCTTTCAAAGCAAGTAGTATTTGGTTTTACCCTAGGTCTGTGGGCTATCTAGATACTGGTTCTTGGTCACCTAAGCAGCTACAAGAGTAAAAGACCAAGATTTCTCAATGGAGACTCTAAAAACCAGTTTTAATATTCTTTCTTTGTTCTGTATGTTTAGTGTATTGATATTATGTGGCAAGGGGATTTTCTTTCCTGGCCCAATCTATTTGGTGATCTGTATCCTTCCTGTACCTTTATAGCCATCTCCTTCTTTAGGCTAGGAAAATTTTCTTCTATGATTTTGTTGAAAACATTTTCTGGGCCTTTGAGCTGGGTTTCTTCTCCTTCCTCTATGCCTCTTATTCTTAGATGTGGTCCTTTCATAGTGTCCCGGATTTTCTGGATGCTTTATGTCGGGTTTTTTTTTTTTTTTAGATTTAACATGTTTGTTGACTGATATATCTATTTCTTCTATTGTATCTTTAACACCTGAGGTTCTCTCTTACATCTCTTGTATTCTGTTGGTGAAGTTTGCCTCTGTAGTTCCTGTTTTAATTCCTAAATTTTTCATTTCCAGAATTCTCAGAAGTCTGAGTTTTCTTTATTGACTCTATTGCCAAAATTCTTAACCAGTTTTATTTATTTCTTTATACTGTTTGTTTGTGTTTTCCTGGATTTCTTTAAGGGAGTATGTTAATTTCCTCTTTAAGGAATGCTATCATCTTCATATAGTTGGTTTTAAGATCTTTTTCTTGTTCTTCAACCATGTTAGAATATTTGGGGCCTGCTGTAGTAGGGTAGCTGGGCTCTTGTGGAGACATATTGCCCTGGCTGTTATTGATTGTGTTCTTACACTATAGGTCTAGGTGCTGATTTATGCATTTGTCTTTGTTGGGTGAGTGTTTTGTTCCTTGATTTCTGTTTCCTCCCTGAATTTTGGTACAGTGTGATAACTGCTGTTGCCTGTTTCCTGGTCTGCCGAGCTGGTGTATTCACAGGTAATGCTTGCTGATGTTGGAGGGTGGGACAATGGGCTGAACTGGGGGAAGGAAGGTGAGGGGAGATCTTTATGATCGAGGATGGGGTCAGAAAGAAAAGGGAGATTGCATCTTGGTTCCTACTACAGAGATGGGGATGAGACAGGGGGCTTGGATTTCAAGATCAGTAGGAATGGTATGGATCCAGCTTCAGCCTACTTGTTACCCTAGGAAGAGAAGCCCTTGGGTTAGCAGGGGGTGCCTTCTGGGGTTGGGGTCTTGGAAAAAGCAATGAGTGGGGTGAGGAAGGCTAGAAGGGGAAGATCTGTGGGATATACAGGAGATAGGAGCAGGGAGTCAAGAATGGATGCCACTGGTATTCTGATACAGAGCTGGGGGTGAGAATGGGGGATTGGATCTGGGAGAACAAAGCACCCGATATATTAAGAGATTAAATAATGCTGATCTTGCTTTTAATGAAATGACAAATTTAATGAAATTATGTCCTTTCATAATCATCTTATTTGCTATGATTGTTTGCTTACCCAGAATTCCCATCTTACATGAGTCTGGTTTTAGTGTTGAAGGGGAAAGATTAGTAGCCCTCTTGAGAGTTGGCCCCCATCGCGAGGTATCTGCTGACTTGTAGATGAACCCAGAGCTGGCCAGTGACTGAACTGGAACAATAAATCTGAATGTAAATATATTCTGGACCCAGTGAAACAGAATATAGGGAGTAAAAATTTATGTCTCTATAGATACCCTGCATCCTGTCAGCCATTAGTAATTTCACGCTTATAGTTCAGCCAATAACTTCAAAGAACTACCTCACCCCTAGCTCCCTCGTCCAATCCTAAGACACAAGATATGTAACCTACTGCTCATAAACTTTTTCCTATACAAACCCCTTGTAATAAGTGCTCGGGGTTTCCTCCTTCACTAGCTGTAACGGAGTTTCAGAGGAAGTCCCGCCTGGGCTTGGCTGGAATAAAGAAACCATTTGTTTTTGCATCAGAAGTTGGCTCCTTGGTGGTCTTGTTGTGGGGGGACTCGCCATACGGGCATAGCAGTGTCTAAATGGCTCATTTTGTCATTGTCTCTACAAAGAAATATATTCTCATGATTCAACATAATTTGGATTTTAAGAATTGTCAGATCCAAAGGAGACTCCAACTCCCCAAACTCCAAAAGGCAGAACACGTGTCTTGAAATGACAGTTGTGGCCCAGCTCGAGCCAAATTGTAGAAGGACTTCTGGCAGTCAGAGAAAAGCCAGCATTACTCAGGAACTTGTGAAATGGTTTTTGTCTGCCAGAAGAAATCATTTCCCTTGCATGTCCCTCAGGCAGAAGGGACATGTGGCTGTCTATGGACACATACTTTGGTTGCGTATCAAAGCCCATGCTGGCTCCAGGCTCCGATAGTCCCCACTCACAAGTACTCATCATACGTTTCAGTGTCCTAGCCCTTCTGACCTACCCCCCCACCCCCACCCCCCACCCCCCGCCCTCAACCCGCAGGGCTGTTCCAGCTCACAGGCTTCCCTCCCCTCAGCTGTTTACTCATCCTCCACATAACAGGCTATTGTCTACTATCCCCACTCTTGCTAGTCCTTGCCATTCCTGCTCCCCTATCCCTAGCCACGGCCAGTCTGCTGCTTTTTCTCTCTGATCCGGACTCTTCCAGATGCCTCTGGATATTTTCTCTCTCTTACTCACAGTAAAAACCTTTCCCCTAATGGAGTGGTCAGTTTGGTAGTTTCCTGTCCTCAGCGTACATATGGTGCTGAGGACCTGGGAGGGGCACAGATGCCCCCCCTCCCCTTCCAAGGGGCTGATTTGACCCTTGTAATGTCTGAATCATTTGCTTCTGCTGGTTTCTGCCACCCACTGTATTTCACTCCGAATGCCAGAGTTCACCTCTCCAGCCACTTCTCCTCTGCCTGCTCTAACCACGCCTCTCTCCTCACCTCCTGGGTAAGTGTCCTCTTAGTCTCTCTGGCTCCTGGGGTCTGCCATGCCCTCCTGGATATCTATCACTTAGAAAGGATGTCCCTCCTTGGCAGGCTGGAACCTCCTGTACACTTCTCCACTGTGATTCAGGGCCTCTCTCTGCTAAGGCACTTCTCCCTCTCCTCTGTTGGAATTCTTCCTCTGGCAGAGTTCTTACTTATGACCGTTTTCCATAAATCTCTCCCGTGTCACCTTGATAGAGAAAGACATCAGGAGGATATGGAGAAACATGGTGCTAGGGGGTTCCCAGGAAATTTTTATTCCCTATGTCCTGCTTTTGTTGAACCCAGGATATATACATTCAGATTTATTGTTGCAGTCCTGCTCTCCTCTAAGTTCAACTTCTGGTCAGTTGAGCCCATTACTCCTCATATCTTGTTTTGCCAAGTCCAGGATACATAGGTTTATTGTCCCAGCCTTATAAGTTCAACTTCTGGTCTACTCAGGCTAACAAAAACTTAGAGATGTATGTCTAACTATGTATGCCTTTGTTAACTGTGTTCAACACCAGGCTTCTAAAAAAAATGAATAAGGAACACCATGTGTTTGATAAATAATGTTTATGAATTCCCAAGTCTATTCAAGCTAGCAAAAAGTGATTGAAA